AGACTGAAATTATTAGGTCACTGGCTCTTTGAATGTTATTGCTTCCAAAAATTGTTTGTGACCCCAGATTACATGGTAGGCAAGGCAAGAAGGATTGCGAAAATGGGTTAGGGATGGTTCCATTTTTGGAGAGGATGAAGAACGTGTAAAATGGTTACTATTGTAACAAAGATGATGAAGAAGAATCTTTTTGGCTTGCTGCTTCTTGTTCTTGTGCTCTTATTTTTTTTTCTTTTTCTTTTTAAAAAGACTCATGTAGCCAAGGCAGTACATGATACTGTAGTTGATATGCCAATAATATTGTTGCCGAATATATAAATTCCTTTTCACACTTTTAATGCAAGTGACAATCTACTCTAAATCAATCTAATTTATGAGGAGAGAGATTCAAAACTTGAGTATAAGGGGACGGGCTCACTGCCCTCTCCAACTAGCCTAAGCCAAGTCTACACACCATGCGCATATTTTTGAGATATAAGTAAATAAAGTTGGTGGGTGTGAAATAGGTCTCTCTCTTTTTTCAATTTTTCTTTAATTATTTTATTTTTACTAAATTACACTCACATCATGAATGATGTTATTTTAATATATTACATTAATTAAGGATGTTCTAAATAATTTTTGCAAAAACTTATAGTTCAAGTGATTAAAAGCAGTTACCCCTTCATTTTTACGTTATTATGATATCTCATTGCTAAAAGAATGACAAACCCAGCTCCGAGGCAGTCAACCAGAGCAACCACACCTCAAAATTTGAGGGGGCCTTTTTGTATGATCTCTCTTGAAATCTCAAGGGAGGTTTGCTTGCTCCTCACTGATGTACGTGTTTTATAGTTTCATGAGTTCTCTCTCTAACCGAATTTATATGTGTCTAAACCTACATGAAACTATAAACACATCAATGAGGTGTAAGCAAACCTCCCTTGAGATTTCAAGAGATATCATATAGAAAAGGCCCCTCAAATTTTGGGGCGAGATTTCAAGAGTTAGTTTGTTACAAATCTCCACTAGTCAAGTTCAAAATTATCCATTTTTACACTTTTTTTTTAATAAAACATATATTCTATAAAAACATATCATGTGAATATTATAGAAACTAAGACGTGGAGCAAAAGCCGTTTCAATTGGGTTTTAAATTTGTAACTGTTGCCTTCATTTCTATGTGATTTCACGTGAAATTGGTGAACAATTTGTTTGTAAGCTCAACAAACCTTAATTATGTCATAGAACGTCTATACTACAAAACCTATCAAGTGGTGAATCCCATAGAAACTAAGACGCATGGCATAAGCAGTTTCAATTGGGTTTTAAATTTGTAATTGTAGCATTAATTTCTTTTTGCTTTCACGTGAAGTTGGTGAACATTTGTCTGTAAGCTCAACAAACCTTAATTATGTCATTGGTTTTGATGCCCAAATTTTCTACAAATACCTTCCCAACCCTCTTCCAATTGAAAGAGAAATGTCAATAGACCAAGAATTAGTTTGTTACAAATCTCCACTAGTGAAGTTCAAAATTATCATTTTAAAACTTTTTTTAAATAAAAAAAAACTTAATTCTATAAGAACCTATCATGAGAATGCCATATAAACTAAGATGCGTCGCATAAGCCATTTTAGTTGTGTTTTAAATTTGTAATTGATGCATTCACTTATCTGTGCTATTACGTGAAGTTAGTGAACAATTTGTCTGTAAGCTCAACAAACCTTAATCATGTCATAGAACCTCTATTCTACAATAACATATCACATGAATGCCATAGAGATTAAGAAGCGCGGCATAAGCCGTTTCAATTGGGTTTTAAATTTGTAATTGGATGCATTAATTTCTTTGTGCATTCACGTGAAGTTGGTGAACAATTTGTTTGTATACTCAACAAACCTTAATTATGTCATAGAACATCTATTCTACAAAAACCTATCATGTGAATGCCATAGGAACTAAGACACGCGGCATAAGCCGTTTCGATTGGGTTTTAAATTTATAATTGCTGCATTAAATTCTTTGTGCTTTCACGTGAAGTTAGTGAACAATTTGTCTGTAAGCTCAACAAACCTTAATTATGACATTGGTTTTGACGCCCAAATTTTCTACAAATACCTCCCCAACCTCTTCCTTACTGCATGAAGTAAGTCATATCTTTCATAGTTGTTTTCTTTGTACATGGGTTACCAATTAAAACCTTTGGGAGAGCTTAAGACAGAGGAAATAGGGAAATAGGAGGATGAGGAGGAAGAAAAGGGAAGGAGAGGGGGAAGGAGGAAAACTTGAGAGACAATTAAATTTACTCAAAGAAACTTATTTTGGTGTAGAAATGCGTGGCATGGGAGGAAAGATTTTAGGGCCGAAGGGAATACTAATTAACAATATTAGTGTTGTTTTGGCCTTCAGGATGAGACCATCGAAGCTACTCGACTTCGTTTGAGAAGCCATCCCAATTATTGTGCCTTGATGAACAACCGTGTGAGTGAGAGCTGTGGTTTGATGATGAGCTCTCTATGCCCTCACTCTCACCCATCTCATCCTCAGCCTCAGCCCTTTTGGGTAACAACATTGTTAACCCTAACATGAGGCTTTCTCATCAAAACCATCAACCCCTCATTTACCATATGCCTAGCTGTCATCTTGGCCAACTTTGTCTGAAGCATGGCCGCACGCAAGGACAACTGCTACTGCACCACGTAGGGTCTGTACATCCACACAATCATGGACATTAACGAACCAGTGGTGCAAAACCCATCAGCAGCACAAGGCCTAGGCGGCCCTCTTCTTCTTGGTCACCGGAGCAGCAGTGGTTAATTACGTGGCGCTCAGTCTTATTTCGTCGGAGGAGGGGGGAGGGACTCGGAGTTCAATTCTCATGAACGATAAATATAATATTTGTTTAGCTGAAGAGCAAAGTGGAAAACATGTGGTTCCATTTTTGGAGAGGATGAAGAACGTGTAAGATGGTATGGTAATAAAGATTATCGATGAAGAAGAATCCTTCTGGATTGGTTCTTGTTGTTAAATTTGTAAAGAAAAAAAAAGAAAAAAGAAAACTCATGTTAGCCCAGGCAGTAAATGATCAGCTGGTTCTTGTTTTTATTGAATGAAGTCCTTCTTTCATGGTGTAATTATTATTTTATTTTATGTTATTATCATATCTTTTCATTAAAGAAATAATGGCATCAAGTATCAAATCCTTCATTAAATTTATAGGTGAAATATTTTCAAATTCTGAATTATAAAATGGGATTTACTTATCTCAACAAGTCGGGCTCACAGCCCAAGCCAATTGGCCTAACCCGCATTTACTATTACACCAAATTTTAATTACCAATTGATATGACAATTTCTTATTTATTTTGAATAACTAAAGTTGGAGTTGGTTCATACCAAAAAAAACCAAACGAAACGCTATTTTAAAGTTTGTGTGTTGGTTTCTCTATTACTACTCAAGTATGAAATTGTTAGTGTCAATTGTTTTGTAAATCTTACAGTAATAGCCGAATGACATTCACACTTTCCTTAATTTTCTAAATTCAAGCTAAGTTCAAAATTTTGTATATCTCGTATATCTCAATCCAATCAAGGTCTGGTAATTAGGTTCATATTTTAAAAAAAACACACACACACACACTTATCACGTGATATATCATGAAAATTAAGATACATGATTTGATTTCTTGAGGATATTAATAAAAATCCAAAATGTGTTAACCTTTAAATGTGAACTTGGAAGCTAAAGATGCCATCCTTTACAAATTACACTGTTCTACGTGAATTTAGCTGGCCATACAGCCTTATAACAATGTTGAATTCGAGGATGAAAAATGAAATTTAATTACAAATGTGACAAAAATCGAAGTATATATATTAATCATAAATCAATGGCATGCCTAATGGGATACAAACTTTTCTTAAAAATAATTAGCTTGGTGAATGCCCCAGAGTGAATTATTGGTTACGAATTTCCACTAGTAAGAGTTCATAATTATCCACATTTTTACCTTTTTTTTCTTTTCTAAAACTTCTCAATAGTAGAACCTATCATGTGAATGTCATAGAAACTTAGACGCGTAGTATAAGCCGTTTCAATTGGCTTTTAAATTTGTAACTGTTGCATTCATTTCTCTGTATTTTCATGTGAAGTTGGTGAACAATTTGTCTGTAAGCTCAACAAACCTTAATTATGTCATTGGTTTTGACGCCCAAATTTTCTACAAATACATTCTCACCTTCTTCCCTAAGTCATATCTTTCATAGTTTTTTCCATTAATAGATACATGATTTGATTTCTTGAGGATATTAATAAAACTCCAAAATGTGTTAACCTTTAAATGTGAACTTGGAAGCTAAAGATGCCATCCTTTACACTGTTCTACGTGAAGTTGGCTGGCCATACAGCCTTATTACAATATTGAATTTGAGGTTCGATAAATAAAAAAAAAGAATTATTGAATTCGAGGATGAAAAATGAAATTTAATTACAATGTGACAAAAATCAAAGTATATATATTAATCATAAATCAATGGCAGTAAATGCCTAATGGGATACAAACTTTTCTTTAAAATAGTTAGCTTGGTGAATGCCCCAGAGTGAATTATTGGTTACAAATCTCCACTAGTTAAAGTTCACAATTATCCACATTTTTACCTTTTTTCTTTTTCTAAAACTTCTCAATAGTAGGAGAAATTATAGAATGGTTGGAGAACCTATCATGTGAATGTCATAGACTTATACGTGTAGTATAAGCCGTTTCAATATGGCTTTTAAATTCGTAACTGTTGCATTCATTTATCTGTATTTTCACGTGAAGTTGGTGAACAATTTGTCTGTAACCTCAACAAACCTTAATTATGTCATTGGTTTTGACGTCCAAATTTTCTACAAATACCTTCTCACCTTCTTTCCTAAGTCATATCTTTCATAGTTTTTTTCCTTGTTCATGGTTATCATTTAAAAACGTAGGAGAAAACTTGTGAGCTTAAGGAAGAGGAATTAAGGAAGAGAGAGGATGAGAAGGAAGAAAAGGGAAGGAGGAGGAAAAGTTGAGAGACCAATAAAATTACTCGAAGAAACTTATTTCGGCGTAGAAATGCGTGGCATGGGAGGAAAGATTTTGGGGCCAAAGGGAATGCTAATCTTGCTCCTCTTGCCGCCTAAGAAGCTTAAACTATTTCCTGACCTTGCAAGGTATATTTCTTTCTTTAGTGAATTGGATATATTATATTATATTGCTTTTCTTTTCTCTATATATATATGATATGAACAAACTGTCCACCCAACTCTGTCCAGAGTCTGCAGATTTTGCAAACAATGAAAGAATCCAATGTGATGAGTTGGTCCATGCCGATCCCTATGAAGTTATGGGGCAACTCTACAGGCAGCAGCTGTCTTGCCACGCATTTCTCATGAAAACCAACAGCAGCAGCTGTTGTGGCCAACGAGGCCCTGAGAGCCCATGAGGAGGTTGTGAGAACTCAATGCAACCTCAAACGCTGAACGCTTTCTTGGGCCCCGTCTATCTTTCAAAACCCTACTTCTTCTTCTTCATCAAAACCTAGACTAACTCAGAGTTCAAATCTCTTGAACGATAAATATAATCTTTGTGCAGCTGAAGAGCAAAGTGGGAAACATGCGGTTCCATTTTTGGAGAGGATGAAGAACGTATAAGATGGTATAGTAATAAAGATGATGAAGAAGAATCCTTCTGGCCTAGGTGTTCTTGTTGTTAAAGTTGTAAAATAAACAAAAAATGAAAAAACTCATGTTAGGCGAGGAAGTAAATGATCAACTGGTTCTTGCTTGTAATGAATGAATTCAATTTCTTGCTTTTATTACGATATCTTTTCATAAAAGAAAGGGCATGAAGTCTCATATCCCAACATTAAATTTGTACCTCAAATATTTATGATGTGAAATGTGTAATGTGGTATACAAATATGGTATACAAAGGGTAGAAGGTGGTATGCGTAGCATTGCTCTTTATCTAATTGTAAGATTTTGTTATATATAAATAATAATAATAAAAACTTAGAAGACTCTATCACGTGAAATGTCATAAAAACTTAAGACACATCATAAGCTTTTTCAAATGATTTTTTACATTTTTATCAGTGCAAGAAGATTCTGGGTTATTGTTATGAACTTTTAATACAGATGTTGTTCATTAGAAATCTAAAGGTTGCCGATTTTCTAGAGGATATTAATAAAACTCCAAGATGTGTTATAACCTTTAAATAATGTTTACGGGAAAGCTTGGAAGCTAAAGATGCCAACTCAAGGGGAGGATCCTTTACAAATTACACTATTCTATTCTATGTGAAAGTTCCCTGGCCAAAAAGCATTATAACAATATTGAATTTCGAGGATGAAAAATGAAATTTAATTACAATTTGAAAAAAAAATCCAAGTCTTTATATTAATCATAAATCAATTGCCACATGCCTAATGGATATACAAACTTTTCTTGAGAATAGTTAGCTTTGGTGAATGCCCAAGAGTTAGTTGAATACAAATCTCCACTAGTACTGTTCAAAATGATCCGTTTTTAACTTCTTGTTTTCTTTTTTAAATATCTATTTTAGAAGAACCTATCACGTGAATGTCAGAAACCAAGATGCGAAGCAGAAGCCGTTTCAATTGGCTTTTGTCTGCCTTTATTTCTCCGTGTTTTCATGTGAAGTTTGGTAAACGATTTGTCTATAAGCTTAACAAACCTAAATTATATCATTGTTTTTCACGCGCAAAATGACCTTCTCTAATGCATTAAGTAAGTCATACCTTTCGTAGGTTTTTCCTTTGTTCATGCTTTACCAATTAAAAACTTGGGCTTAAAGAGGCGGAGAGTGGGAAGCAGGAGGAAGGGAATTCTAATCTTGCTTCTCTTGCCGCCCAAGAAGCTTAAACTATTTCCTGACCTAGCAGGGCATATATTTATTTCTTTAATTAAAATAAATTCAATATATTATATTACTTAATTTTCTTTTCTCTACATATGATATGAACAAATTGGTCACCCAACTCTCTCCAGAGCTTGCAGATTTTGCATACAATGAAAAGATCCAATGCCATGAGCTGGTCCATGCCCAACCCCATGAAGTTAGGTAATAGGAGACCATGATCATGATGATCAGAAGCTGAAGTTATGGGGAAAGTCTCCAGGCAGCCAGGCAGTGAAATCCACTCAGATTCTCAAATATTTTTCTGCATGTGAAAATAATTAATCCATTGGTGTTTTTGTGGTGTTATTGTACATGTAAATCACTTTTTATATCATTAAGGATGATTAAGATTGTAATTAGTTACTGTATAATCTTATATAATTAACTTCTGGAAATTTCCTTATGGAAACACCATTTTGTTTCCTTCTTGGCATTTCAAGGTTTAAGAGGCAAGAGTTAATAATAGAGCATTGAAACCAGATCTAGAAGATCATGCTTTTGCTGAAAACGTTTCAAAGTTATCAAGGACTAAATTTTAACATTTCAGGGACCAATATAAAAAAAAACGTTGTTCATTCCCAACAATGGCGGATCCAGGAGTGTCATAGTTATTCCTTTTTTTGCGTAGTTAGATTGCTGCAAATCACCCAATTATTGTTTACTAGGATTGTTGGTTTGGCATATTTATTCACTTTTATGCGTGGTTAGATCGCTGGAAACCCATGTTTTCCCTTGATTTGTCACGAATTTTGTTCTCGCTCCAAGACTTTATGCAGTGATAGGTGTGGCCGCGACGCCGCTTCTTTAGGTGGTGGTGGTAGGGTTGAATTGCTTTAGGGTTTCAGTTATATTAGGTTTGTGGGCTTTCTCTAGGATCATGTTTAATTGGGGTGAGGTGGGCTATTAGTTTTATTGCGGCTTTTGTTTGCTTTTGTATTATTTTTAACATGTAGAGGGCCCCCCCTCCTCCTCTCTCCTTGCCGACCCGTGCCCCTCTTTTCCTCAATGCAACCCACCTAGACCCATCCCTCTAGCCCGCACAAGATACAGAGATCATTGATGCCTCTTATCCCTTTTACATACACCATTCGGGTCAAACAGGTCTGGTCCTTGTCACACAACTTCTAGATGGTGACAATTATGCAACTTGGAGTCAGGTGACGTTGAACAACTTGGAAGCAAAAAACAAACTCGGTTTCGTTGACAGCACAATCAAGGCACCACCAACAACCAGCGCCAAGTACCTATTTTGGAGGAGATGCAATCAGTTAATTAAATCTTGGATTATGAATTCCATTAGCCCTTCATTAGCTAACATTATAATTTATGCCAACACCACCGCTGAGGTTTGGTCAGATCTCAAAGAGCGTATTGCTCAAGGGAATGTGTCTCGTATTTTTCAGATCAAGTGAGAAATTGCTGAAATGCGACAGCACCAGCAGTCTATTTCAACATATTACAACATGCTTAAAGGTCTTCGGGATGAGTTGGGATCATATCTTCTCATGCCATCATGCCAATGTGATCCAACGTGCAAGTGTGGAGTTATGAAGGAGCTTGCTGACAGAGAGCAACAAGAACAGGTACTTCAATTTCTTATTGGCCTAAATGATACTTCTTCGACTGTTCGTATGCAGATGCTTCTGATGTCTCCCTTACCTATGGTGCGCAAGGCATATTCCATGCTCCTACAAGAAGAAAGACAGCAACAAATAACAGAGAATAGCACAATCAGTTCCGTTCATGCCATGAACACATCAAATAGTACCAACAAACAACCTCGCAGAGTGCACGACGATGACAACAAGAATTTACATTGCACACATTGTAATGGTGACACCCACACTTATATGGGCGCCAACAACACCACCCAGGAACCACAAAAGGGAACCATTACTCAGATGTTGGATGATCTGAAATTCACCCCCCAATTAGTTAATCAGATCAAGTCCTTTTTACGAGGTGATGGTAAAATTCAATCCTTTGCAAATGCTACAGGTATATCACATGACTCTTGGATAATTGATAGCGGTGCAACATACCACATTTCTTTTTCACCCAAATTGATTCCTAAGAAAACCACCTTGTCTAATTCTTCAGTCAACATACCCAATGGTTCACATGCACATATCTCTTGTCTTGGTTCTATTCAGATCACTCCTCATCTAAAATTGGAAGACGTTCTTTGTGTTCTTGGTTTCCGAGTCAATTTAATGTCTGTCAGTAAATTAACCCGCCATCTCCATCGTCTTATCTCATTCTTCCCCACTTTTTGTATCATGTAGGATTTAACAACGAAGAAGATGATTGGGTTAGGGAAAGAGCATAATGGTATGTACTATTTAGTACATGTCACCGAAGATTTTCTTCGTGAGCGTGATCCCATAATAGCAGCTGCTGCATTGTCCTCCACTTCTGATCTTTGTCATAAACGCTTAGGTCACTTGTCTACTGGTCTAATGTGTGTTTTATCCCAAACAGTCTTTTCCATTTCATTTAATTTTCATTCTCAATGTGATGTGTGTCCTCTTGCCAAACAGACCAGATTACCATTTTCTCTAAGTTCAATTTCAACCAATAAACCTTTTAAGTTAATTCATTGCAATATATGGGGTCCTCATCGATTACCCACTAGCTTAGGTGCTCGATATTTTTTTACTATCGTAGATGACTACTCACGTTTCACATGGTTGTTCCTCATGAATCTGAAATCTGAGACACAAGAAAAGATCAAACTTTTTTTTGTCTATGTTAAAACTTAATTTCATTGCGAATTCAACAAGTGAGTAGTGACAATGGTGCAGAATTCCTATCCATGCGTTCTTTTTTTGCTCAAATGGGTACACTATGGCAACATTCTTGTTCACACACCCCCCAACAAAACGGGGTTGTGGAATGCAAACGTCGCCATCTTCTCACTGTTGCCCATGCTTTATGTTTTCAAGCACAAGTTCCCCTCAAGTTTTGGGGAGAGAGTATTCTTACCTTAGCTTATATCATTAACTAGGGGTGGGCATGGTTCGAGTTGGACCGATTTTTGTCTCAAATTAGAACCGATCTGGTACTATTCATTCGGTTTGGTTCGATTTTAATTGTAAAAAAAATTCAAAAACTGTCACGCCCCGAACCCTGGGGTTGGTGGAAACCCCACGCCCAGTACGTGAGAAAAATAAAAAGAAAGCCGAAACATGGGTTTAAAATAAAACTTCTCTTATAAAAAATAGCTCCCAAAATCTTACAACTTTACAATAAATAAACAAAGCTCTACTACTCTCATCTAATTCAGCCTCAATTGGTTTAGTCCTTTTCTAATTTATCTGAAAAATTAAACAGGGTGAGGGGTGAGCAACCACAGCTAAGTAGGGACATGAGACCTTACCACAATAGATTGATGTAACTAAATTAAGTGACATGCAATTACACAACCAAATATCACATTAATAATAACAATAATAATAATAATAATAATAATAATAATAATAATGCATGAATGCTCTTCAATTCTACCCAACCCATTAATTTATATAATAGGGAAAGCAAATATGCATGTCTCATACCATGCATTTTACCACTGTGATTCTGAATGCCTTATTATATAAACTAACACCCATCTCAGTTATCCCATAATTCCCCTTTTGCTAGTCATCTTGTCTACACCATTGATCTCCAAGCCCAAATCACCCAATCGACAATTATACCGCCGATTTCCTAGTCTACTGTGCACACAGGCTCGCCTAGACTTGGTTCCTACAATGGTCAGACTCAACTACACAAAAGATCCTTCCCATTACCCTCTTTTCCATAATTATTTTCTCAATCCAACAACTCCAACCAATTACCATGACAAGTTATAATTATGCCAACATTATTCAAATAGTTCACAATATGTAAACATCCAATATCAAGAACACCCATTATAATAGCACACATAATATAAAGCTCACGAAATTTAATTAAATCAATCTTCAATAAACACCACCAAGAAATCCCTATCTCGATTCCAAAGCATTGCTCTAATTTAAGAAAATACAAACTAAGCCCTATATCTCCTCCAAGAATTTCATCATCTCTCTCTCTCTCTCTCTCTCTCTCTCTCTCTCTCTCTCTCTCTCTCTCTCTCTCTCTCTCTCTGTATTTTATTTTTCTCTTCATACAAACTTACAAATGCTTTGCAACTTGGCTAAAATGAGAATGAAAAACAAAGGAATGGAATGGTCTATATATAGTGTGGTGAAGACGGTAGCTACAGTACATGATAATATCAACATTTATGTAAGAACTTAATCTCCAAGTAGTATATCAATATGGCCTTGCACTCCAAGTAAACAATAGATAAGAAAAGAATTGATAGGAAGACACGCTGTGGTGACTATAATCCTATTCTAATTTCTTCATGGTGAGTTGACAAGGCTACTAGCATGCCTTGTTGACACCTAACTACCCATTCAAGAATCCTTTTACTAATGAAGCCACCTATTAGCAAAAGATATATAATCAATTTAAATATATAATTAAATAGGCAGCAATATATATATATATATATATATTTTTTCAAAAAAATACAGGTCTTCACAAAAATTGTCTAGTTCGAGTTGAATCGATTCCGATCCGGTTCGGGTCCAATTCGATTTTGAACCGGATTATAAAAATTATTTTTTAATACAATTCTCAATTGAAATATTATTATTTTTACTTGAAAATTAACAAATTATTCAATTTCATATAAAAATAAATATTAAAGTTAGAAAAGAGAGATATTTTGAAATTGAACTTGGATAAATATTAGTTTTTTTTTTGTGAAATTAAAAATTTAGCATTAAATATATATTTTTTAATTTGACCGGTTCGGTTCGGCCCGATCTGATTTTTGAAGATATGGAACCGAATCCAAAATCGATCCGATTCGATTTTTGACCAATTGTTGACTTTTTGGTCAACTTGATTTTTTTCTAGTTTGGTTCGATGCGGTTCGGCTCGGATTTTCGGTTCGCCGGTTTGAGTGCCCACCGCTATCATTAACTGTTTGCCCACATTAGTGCTCTCCGAAAGATCACCACTTGAGGTTCTTTATCACACCCCACCTTCATATCGTCATTTTTGTGTATTCGATTGCCTTTGCTACGCCACTCAAACAAGTTCCCTCCACAAATTTGATGCGTGGGCTCGACGTTGTATCTTTGTTGGCTATGCCGCATGCTAGAAAGCTTATCATTTATATGACCTCGCAACTCACCAATTCTTCTCCAGTCACAACGTGGTCTTCCACAACACATATTCCCATTTTCCACAATTTCTCAACACACCCAAACAGTACTCCCTCACGGCCCAATTTTGCCATCCCACCTACATGACCCATTTCCTCCTGATGCCACTTTTGAGCAGCCCATCATCACCTCGAAAACACATAAACCCTCCTCAGAAACAGTTTCCCTCTCCTCATATGCCCATCACCACTCTTCAGATACACGTCCCAACGCCAACCTCAACACATATCTCGACATCATCTCTAAGTCTGTCGCTGATCCACCAGCAACCCTCACTCCTTTAACATCCTCCGATAATCCCATCTCAACTTCTTCCTCTCCAGCACTTCGACGCAGCACTTGTTCTCGGAAACCCAACGTACGCCTCCTCGACTACACATGCTCATTGGTGACTGCTCCTACTCCCACTCCATCGTCTTCTTCGGTGTTAGGTACTCGGTATCCTCTCTCCAAATATCTTTCTTCTTCTCATTTATCTTCCTCATATCGCTCTTTTATGCATAATATTACTACCTACTTGTTTTGCACAGGCTAACCTTGATCCCAAGTAGCGTGAACCAATGGCAGCTGAATTGCAGGCTCTTGAACAAAATCATACATGGACTCTCACCTCACTACCTCATGGCAAACACGCTATTGGAAGCCACTGGGTTTACAAAATCAAGCATAAATCAGATGGCTCCATTGAGCGCTATAAGGCGCAGCTGGTAGCCAAAGGCTACACCCAAACTGAAGTTTTGGATTATTACGAGACTTTTGCCCCGGTGGCCAAATTGGTCACTGTTCGATGTTTATTAGCAGTGGCTGCTCATCACACTTGGCCTCTTCATCAACTAGACATCCAGAATGCTTTTCTCCATGGTGATTTGGAAGAAGAGGTTTACATGTTCCCCCCACCTGGCCTTCGTCGACAAGGGGAGCACTTGCTTTGTTGACTCTAGAAATGTTTATATGGCTTAAAGAAAGCTTCACGACAGTGGTTTTCCAAATTTTCCACAGCTATTCAATATGTTGGTTTTCGGCAATCAAGGGCTGATTACTCTATGTTCACTCGTGTAAAAGGTAAATTCATCACTGTGGTATTAGTCTATGTTGATGATATGATCATAACCATAAATAATCCTACTACCATACAACAATTAAAGGACTTTCTCCATCATCAATTTCGGATCAAAGATCTTGGTTTGCTAAAATATTTCCTCGAAATTGAAGTAGCTCGCTCAAAGGAAAGCATCTCCATTTCACATAGAAAGTATATTTTAGACATAATGAATGATGTTGGATTGTTAGGGGCTTGTCCTGTGGATTTTCCCATGGAACAAGACTTAAAATTACAGTCGACAGAAGGAGAATTGTTGAAAGACCCCACTCATTATAGAAGAATTGTGGGGCGTCTCATCTATCTCACAATAACAAGGCCTGACATTTCATATCCTGTACAAGTCCTCAGTCAGTTCATGAGCCAACCACGCAACCACATCTTGCAGTAGCCATGCCTGTGTTGAAATATTTCATAGTGTCAATAGGCCAAGAATTAATTTTTCCATCCAACAATTCTTTGCAACTACGAGGTTATGCCTCGTGGGCATTGTGCCTTAAAACAAGGAGTTCCGTTACGAGATACTGCATCTTCTTAGGTAACTCCTTGATATTTTGGAAGACCAATAAGCAGCATACAATATCATTATCTTCTGAAAAAGCAGAGTATAGATCAATAGCAGCAATTATAGATCAATGGCAGCAATTACCTATGAACTCACACGGCTACGTTTTGTACTACAAATCTTTGAGTCCTTCATACCGCACCTACTTGAGTTCTCTGTGATAATCAAGCCGCGCTACACATTGCGGCTAATCATGTCTTTCACAAACGTACCAAGCACATAGAGCTAGACTGCCATCTGTCATCTGATTCAAGAAAGAATTCAAGCTAGGCTTATCACAACTCATTTCACACCATCTAAACATCAGATTGCAGACTTGTTTACCAAAGCACATTGTAAACTCATGTTTCAAGCTCATTGCCGCAAGTTGGGCATGCACAATATCCATGCTCCAACTTGAGAGGGAGTGTTGAAATATACAAATCATATCACAAATTATGTGCAGACAAATTGCGATTTAGTTACCTTGTATAGGTCTTTATTTTTTGTAATTAAGGCACTTACCTTGTATAGTCTAGCCCAGCCCTATATTACTGTGTAATATATTCATCTTTCATATATGAAAATATAATGGAGTCTTCTCCTTCATTTATTATTGCCTAGCCTCCTTTTCTTTTCAAATTTTGATGACCTAAGATGACACCCAGCGAAGATGACAAAGTTCACCTTCTTTTGTAGTCTTTACTGGCCGTCTTATATGTCATGTTCATCACAATATTAAAGATTGATAAGTGTAAACTATCATATTCAAAGAAGTATGAAGAATATATAGGAAGAAGAAGGAAATAGAAACAGAGAGAAATCGCAAATCTTGATTTCTGTAGTGCTTAATCTACCTTTAAGCTACAGCACTGTTATACTTTATACCTGTTAAGTAAGGCTTAACCGTGTAACCAATCCAGCTGTCTAACTAATTCTACTAACAACCCAAGTGCCTTGCACACCTGACTTACTAACTATTTAATATCAATAGTTAACATTTTCCATACCCTGTTACATTCCCTAATCGAAGATGATTACAATGTCGTAAAAATATAAGACTATGTAATCCCTTTGTGAATACATCTGCCACTTGCTCTTTTGTAGGAACATACTATACAAGTAAGTCTTTCTTCTGAACTTTCTCTCTCACAAAATGATAGTCAATGTCCAGATGTTTGATCATGGAATTCTAGACAAGATTAGAGCTAAATGCTAGGGCAGATAGATTGTCACAATACACCAGAAAATGATTAGGTAGAAAAAATGTCACATCGTACAACACTTGTCTAATCCAGGCAATATCTGGAGCAGTGTTTGCCAAGGCTCTATACTCTTCCTATGTTGAGCTTCTGGAGACTGATCCCTGCTTTTTGGACTGCCAAGAGATGGGACTATTTCCTAAAAATACTACAAACCTATGGTAGATCTCCTGGTGTTGATGTCTCCAGCTTAGTCAGCATTATTATATGCTGACAGCTGCCAAAGATCACTTACTGTATGACTGATACTAGTAAAATTAATCCCAAAGTTAGGAGTGTTGAAATATGCAAATTATATCACAAATTATGTGGAGACAAATTGCGATTTAGTTACCTTGTATAGGTCTTTATTTTTTGTAATTAAGGCACTTACCTTCTATAGCCTAGCCCAGCCCTATATTACTGTGTAATGTATTCATCTTTCATATATGAAAATATAGGGGAGTCTTCTCCTTCATTAAACATTGCCTAGCCTCCGTTTCTTTTCAAATTTTGATGACCTAAGATGACACCCAACGGAGAGGACAAAGTTCACCTTCTTTTGTAATCTTTACTGGCCGTCTTATATGCCATGTTCATCACAATATTAAAGATTGATAAGTGTAAACTATCATATTCAAAGAAGTATGAAGAATATATAGGAAGAAGAAGGAAATAGAAACAGAGAGAAATCGCAAATCTTGATTTCTGTATTGCTTAATCTACCTTTAAGCTACATCACTGTTATACTTTATACCTGTTAAGTAAGGCTTAACCGTGTAACCAGTCCAGCTGTCTAACTAATTCTACTAACAACCCACGTGCCTTGCACACCTAACTTACTAACTATTTAATATCAATAGTTAACGTTTTCCATACCCTGTTACATTCCCTAATCGAAGATGATTACAATGTCGTAAAAATATAAGACTATGTAATCCCTTTGTGAATACATCTACCACTTGCTCTTCTGTAGGAACATACTGTACAAATAAGTCTTTCTTCTGAACTTTCTCTCTCACAAAATGATAGTCAATGTCCAGATGTTTGATCCTGGAATGGTAGACAGGATTGGAGCTAAGTGCTAGGGCAGATAGATTGTCACAGTACACCATAAAAGGATTAGGTAGAAAGAATGTCACATCGTGCAACACTTTTTTAATCCAGGCAATATCTGCAGCAGTGTTTGCCAAGACTCTATACTCTTCCTCTGTTGAGCTTCTGGAGACTGATCCCTGCTTTTTGGACTGCCAAGAGATGGGATTATTTCCTAAAACACTACAAAGCCTATGGTAGATCTCCTGGTGTTGATGTCTCCAGCTCAGTCAGCATCATTATATGCTGACAGCTGCCAAAGATCACTTACTGTAGGACTGATACTAGAAAAATTAATCCCAAAGTTCAGAGTACCTTGAACATACCTTAAGATTCTTTTAACTAGCAACCAATGAACATCAATAGGACTATTCATATACTGACAAACTGTGTTTACTACATAGGCCAAGTCAGGTCTTGTGAATGTCAAATATTGAAAAGCCCCAATGACACTCCTAAACATGGTAGGATTAGATAACGGTTCACCACTGTCTGTCAGAATTTGATTATGTGGTTTACACGGAGTTGAACAAGCTCTACAGGACTGCATCCCAGCTTTATACAACAGATCCTTATCATACTTTGTTTGACTTACAAACAGACCACCTGAGACAGGATATGCAATTTGCAATCCTAAGAAATGAGCAAGGCGACCCATGTCTTTCATTTTAAATACTAAACTTAAGTTGTCAACCACAGTTTATACCAAATTTGCATTAGAGCCAGTCAATATAATGTCATCGACATACAGCAGCAACACGATCACATCTTAACCTTCATGTTTCACAAACATGCTAGGATCATAATGAGATAATTTGAAACCCAGAGCCGGCAAATATCCTATGAATTTAGCATTCTAAGCCTTTGGAGCTTGCTTCAGACCATACAAGGATTTCTTGAGCTTACACACATACTCTGGATAAGCAGGATCTTCATACCCTTGTGGTTGACGCATAAACACCTCCTCCTCTAAATCTCCATGAAGGAAGGCATTTTTCACATCTAGTTGCCTTAATGACCAGTGATTCATAGCAACAAGACTTAAAACCAACCAAACTGTGGTATGCCTCACGATAGGGCTAAATGTTTCTCCAAAATCTAAACTAGGTTATTGACTAAATCCCTGAGCAACTAGCCTTGCTTTGTACCTTGCAATAGATCCATCTGAATTCTTCTTTATTTTATACAGCCATTTACTACCAACAATATTTTTGTTGCCAGGATTTGGCTCCAAACTCCAAGTACCTTGTAATTGAAGGGCATCAATTTCCTTATGCATAGCTTTCCTCCATTCAGTTGAGTATAAGGCCACTTTATAACTACAAGGTTCATCTAGCTCAACACTTGCAGTTAAACAGGTGAAATAGCCTTGATAATCTTGAAACTGTTTTGGCCTGACAATATCAGACTTAGATCTGGTTTGCATAACATGTGTGTTTACTGGTTCTGGATTAGGAGGAGGAGGAAAAGGGGAAAATGCTTCATAAGGTAGTATCGCTTGTAATTGCTGATCACTAAATATAGGCTGATCATTCTCATACTGCAATGAGAGAGATGCAGTTGATATGGAACCATTTCTAGGAATAGATTGAGTAGGTATAGAGCTAGAGCTTAAGGAGACCTCATCCCCAGATAAATCATGACCTGCAGACTCTGAATCGAGATTACGATGGTAGAGAAATTATAATAGGAGAGGTGTTCAGAACAGAAGATGAAGTAGAAGACTGTTGTGAAGTAATGGAAGGCACAAAAAGATAAACAGACTCATCATGAATGACATCCCTAGATATCACACATTTTCCAGTTGCACAATTGTAGCCAATAGCCCCTTTATATCCAGTAGCATAGCCCAGAAACACACACTGAGTAGTGCGAGGTTATAGCTTATGCACATTGTAATGGTGAAGATAAGGATATATAGTTGTACCAAAAACTCTCAAGGAGTGAATATTAGGGTCCGTTCCAAACAATCAAAAATATGAAGCTTGATTATCCAAGGTAAAACTAGGCATTCGATTTATTAAATAAGTAGTATGAGCAGTAGCATGAAACCAAAACTTCCCTGGTAATGATGCTTTAGTCAATAAAGTAATAGCAGTTTCGATAATGTGCCTATTCTTTCTCTCTGCCATCCCATTTTGTTGGGGTGTGTATGGGCAGGACACTTGATGAAGAATACCTTTGGATGAAAGAAACTTAGAAAATAAGTGGCTACTATATTCGCCACCCCCATCACTTTGTAAACACTGAATAGTTGCCTTAAACTGATTCTGAACATATGCAGTGAAATGAAGAAACTTAGAGAACACATCTAATTTATTGAATAGTGGAAAAAGCCACAAGTAACTAGTACATTCATCCAGAAAAAGATACAAAGTACCTATAGCCATCTAGAGACTTGAAATGGGAAGGACCCCATACATCACTGTGGATTCTAGAAAAATGAATCTTAGTTTTAATATGAGTATCTGTAAATGGCAGCTTGTGTATTTTCCCATGAAGTCAAGAAGAGCAAATCACACTTGAATCATCATTTAGAGACTCTAACTGTGAATTCTTGAGCATCAATTTGACGACAGCATTGGTGGGATGACCAAGTCTTCGATGCCACAAAGAGGAACTAACTTTCTGTCTAAGAAACGCCACTGCCTTGGACTGTGAAGGCAATGTACATGGGATGGGATATATACCATTATGACTCAGTCCTTGGAGTAGAATGGTCTTCATTCGCTTGTCCTGTATATAAAAATTGGAAGCATCAAAGCATATAAGACACTGATTGTCCTTGCACAATTGATTAACAGATAAGAGGTTTGCAGACAGTTTAGGCACATGAAAAACAGAAGGCATATGTAAAGAAGAAGAGTTGCAAGAAAGAGATGTAATGCCAATATTCTGAATTTTCAAACCTTCACCATTTCCCACTATAACTTGTTCTGCAGATTCACAGGGAGTAACATGATGCAAGGAGGAGACATCTGCAACCATATGATGAGATGCACCATTGTCTGCAATCCAGACTTGATTAGGGATATAAGAGCTCCGTGCAGTCATAGCGGAGAGCTTTGGAGATAGAGGTTGTCCCTGATAGGAGTAATTGGAATGATGGAAGCAATCAAGAGCTTCATGCCCCCTTTTTCCACAAATCTGGCATTCAATCACTTGTGCAGAGCCCTGAGCGGGAGAGGCATCATGCCTAAAATAACAGTTGGCAGCGGTATGACCCCGCTTGCAACAAAGCTGACACTCAGGGACAATATTGCTCCTATGAAACGAGTTATAACCAAACTTGGAGCCAGAAACCTGGGAGCCAAACATTTGAGAAGATGCAGATACCAGTTTACTAAAACCCCTTTAGAGAACTTTCCTCTACCAAAACCAGTAGACCCATTGGACATCAGAGAACTACTCGAACTTGACACACCACGTGGACTAGTATACCGATGATGAGCATTAGATGCATAAAAAGCAAATGTTGAACCAGAATGGGTCAGTAGTAAACCTATATTATTAGACAGAGAAGGAGACATAGGAGCATACCCATTGAAAGAAGAAGCCACATAATTATACCCAGATGCAGGATGATGAGAAGCAAGCATAGCATAGTGGGTCAAAATTCTTACTTCTGCAGTTTGTTCAGCTGCAAGCAACTGAGCCTTGAAATCCTTCAACGAAATGGAGGAATCTCTTGTAATCAAGACAGTCTTGATCATATCGTATTTAGACGGCAGCCCATTGAGTGTAGCAATTATGAAATTGTCATATGAGACCTTCACACCGGCTTGAGCAAGCTAATCTCGAACATGCTTTAACCGAAGAAGAAATCTTTCAATAGAGTCCCCCCCCTTTTTGAGCAGTTTGGAGCTCAGTCTTCAAGTGATTGATGCGGGCTCGTGAAACTGAGGCATAGCGATCCACCAAATTGAGCCAAGCCTCTTGAGCCGTCTTAATCCCAATGACATATTCCAAAGCTTCATCCGACAGAGTGGCGATGAGCAAACTGAGAAGAGCCTTGTTAGTCTTCAGCCATTCCTTGTAACCTGCTGTGACTTGAGAAGTAACACCCTCTTCGTCCAAGATTGCAAATTTTGGAGGTTGAACTATAGAGCCATCGAAATACCCAAAAAGCTCATACCCTTGCAACACAAACTGCAATTGAAAACTCCATTTCAAGAAATTATTGTCGCTGAGACGAATGGTAACCATACTGAGCAAACCATCAATCTTGATGGAGGAAGAAGAAGCCATGATGAATCAAGAGAGAAAACAAGGACGAAAATCATAGGAAGCCCTAGAATTGAATTTGGGTGAGGAAATAGAGAGAATCGGGAAGAGAATCATAGAATGAGGAAAGGAGTGGATTGAAAGACAGAGAAAGCGCAGAACGGATCGATTGATTATGTGAAAGCCACTGAGGGCTCTGATACCATTTAAATTATCATATTCAGAGAAGTATGAAGAAGATATAGGAAGAAGAAGGAAATAGAAACAGAGAGAAATCGCAAATCTTAATTTCTGTATTGCTTAATCTACCTTTAAGCTACAGCACTGTTACACTTTATACCTGTTAAGTAAGGCTTAACTGTGTAACCAATCTAGCTGTCTAACTAATTCTACTAACAACCCGCGTGCTTTGCACACCTGACTTACTAACTGTTTAATATCAATAATTAACAATAAGGGTATAATATATGTACAAGGAAGGGGAGTGATCAACTAATGGATATATACTACGTTTCTAGGGAGAATCTTATTTCAATTCTTCACTTTATTTCTATTCACTTCACTTCATTTCACAAATAACATAGATACAAGCCTTATTTATAGACTCTACTTAAGTACTTAATATTTTTTGTCAATGGCTTACAGTACTCGATGACTGCATACGTAAGAAAATGTCGAAGGACCACTATCTCTTTTATTACCCGAAGCATAATAGCTCTCGTGAATTCTTTATTTACTCTTCATTCATCCCACCAATTCTTGCACTTATTAATACAAGAAAAAGAAAAGATAGCTCAACACTATCAAATTTCGCTAGTCCGGGGCCATTGGATCTTCCTCCGACGCTCGCTCTCAGGTCGCTGGAATGTAAGCGCGACAAGTAAGCACAAAATACCACATATTAGATAGACCCCAATGCCAAACGGACTGTGTTGGGGCAAGACTACAAACAACCCTGATGCAAATGCCACCATCATTCCTCCTATGGAATATTGAACAAGACTTGTACGCATGACTTGAACTCTTCCAATTCCAAACACAGTTGCCTCTATGAAATTAATAAAGACAATGAAAATTGACAGAAAGAAGGAGAGGACATCGGATAGCAGAAAGACTTGGAAAGATGCCTTGTCATGTAAAATCGGCATGCCATCACTTGTGAATCCTCCAGGCATTGCGAAAGCCGCTGCAAATGTGACTGTTGCGATAAGTATTGCTACCAGTAGATTGGTGTCAAATCTTCTCAAGTCCCTATCTGTATAGGCTTCCGTCTCTTGTCTCGGTTCTGTGGCAAGCATATGGTCATTCGCTTCAGATTCCAATTTCACGAAATCACGACAAATTTGTTGTTGGAAAAACGGCACGCCAATGGGGTAACCCATGTGGAAAAGAGTAGCAAGACCATTGACATCCTATAACATAGAGAGCAACACTTATAGTCAACAACTAAAAAGATATATGTGGTTCACATTTGTAAAGTTTCAATTATATTCATATTCACAATTGAATAAAATTATAGTATAAAAAAAATTTAAAAAAAAGGAGCTAATTTTTCCACTCCCCTTTTCTCCACTTACATTCCCTTTTGCTTTTTATTTTTAATCAATATTTTTTTCTTTTTTATTCTTTCGCTTTCCTATTCCACCTTTACCATACATTGATTTCTTTTACTTTCACTTTTATATTATTTATCTAGCTTAAATGTCAAAATGGTTCATGTATCTTATAACGTTGGCCAATTTAGTCCATGTACTATTTTCAATTTGGCCAATTTGATCCTTGTGTTTAAGACCGTCAGTCAATTTGGTTTGTTCCGTTAAAGTTGCCGTTATATGCACGTGATAATCTGTTTTTATTTTATTTTGAAAACCTATAAAGCTTTTTGAAGTTAATAAAAAGTTGAATTAATTTAAAAATACATTAAAAGTTCAATTAAACTAAAATATATCATTAGAAAAAAGAAAAAAAATTTGAAAATAATGGCATAGTCTGGTCTGGAAGGGGAGGAACTGCTTAGCAGGTGGAGAAGTGGGAAGGACCATTGCGGAGTGGTAAGGCTGAAGAGGCTTTTTCTTTTCTTTTTTCTAATGTTTAATTCAACTTTTTATTAACTTCATAAAGCATTATAGGTTTTCTAAATAATAATAAATATATATATATTATCATATTCATTTAACGGCATAAAGAAAAAGAAATAATATAAAAATATAGAGAAAAAGAAAATGGAGTGCAAGTTGTAAAATTAAGTATAAAGAAAAAGAAATAATATAAAAGTGAAATAAAAAGAAATTAAAGTAGAATAAGGGTAGAATAGGAAAGAGAAAAAAAAACAAAATTAATTAAAAAGTATTAAAAAGAAAAAGAGAGTATAAGTGGAGAAAAGATGAGTGAGAAAATTAGCTCCTAAAAAAAATTCTTTATTTGCATAATACGTACCTCTCCATATTTGTTGCCAACTAAAATGTCAAAGGCCTTTAAGAATTCCTTGTTGATAGCAGTCTTATCCACCATAGGGTTGCGTACCAAAATGCGTATAATTCCAATATTTTTGTGAATGGCTGCTAGATGCATAGCGGTGTTTCCATCTTTATCTGCTTCATTTATAAGTCTCGCAAGCTTAGGCGTCGTCAAAATGTAATTGACTACATCTTTACGTCCACCTAAAACTGCAACATGAAGAATCGTCTCGCCTTTCTCATTATACAAATCACAAGTGCCTGGCTGACGTGTGATAAACTCTTCGATAACTTGGATGTGGCCTGCATAGGCTGCAAGATGAAGAGCTGACATTCCGGCTATGTCCAATATGTAACAAGCAGAGCTATCCTCTTTAATCACCAGTCGAATTGCTTCAAGGTTCCCTCTTAATGCTGCGTAGTGTAATGGAGTCCACCCAATTGCGTCGCATTCTCGGATTATCTTAGCACCATCATAGGATACCATAATTCTCACAATTTCTACCTTGTTAATATAGAAACATTAGGCCATTTCTACCTTGTTCAAGTATAACACATGATCAATTAATAAAATTAAATCAATTAATCCCAGGTAGTTTATTACCTTCAGCTTCGTTGCCCGCGCAAGTTATTGCCGCATGCAAAGCCGTCGCATCATGGGTCCCCTGAAAAGAAGGACATATTTGATACTCCTGTAAAATAGAACGAGCTATGGATAGGAACCCCTGGCGTACTGCTAGGAACAATGGTGACTCATTGGCGCTATTTGTGAGACAACACAGTTCAGGATCAAATTCCATTAGCAAATTCACGATTTCACCATGACCATATCGGACAGCAACATGCAGTGCTGTATCCATTTCACAGTTGATCCTTCGTACCAACTCTTTCTGAGCTTCTTTACCAGTGAGTCCGCTTTCCTGATCAACTCCTCCACTGGCAAGTCTGCTCACTGCTTGAGCGAGTAGTAGCTTTACAATGTCATCACAGCCTACTCTTGCAGCAACGTGTAGGGGAGTGTTGCCCTTCTTGTTGGTGTCCCAAAACAGTGGAGATTGATTTGGAATGTTTTTGAAGAAATTTGTTTGCTTGAATTCAGCTGCAATGTGAAGAATATTATTGCCATTAGGAGTTTTCTGAAGAAGAATATCATCTGCAACATTTGCTCTTAAGAAGTCAACATCTCCTGAAGCTGCAGCCTCATGCACGGAATGATCCATGAAATCCATCTCTCAACTTAATCAAAATCCAAAACCTCTCCCTCTCAGTCACACAAATATGTACTTGCTATTTGAGAATAAATAAAAAGATAAATAGATGATTTTCTTTTATTTTCAAGTCAAAAAGTTCGTGGAGTGCAGAAGCCCTATATAGAAATGTTCTCATGCCAAAGATTTTGCCATATGCCGACCCTCTGAGATGAGACAAGAGGTCAATTATCTTCATCTATAAGGCTTAAGTTGTAATTAGTTATGTAGGCTTATTTTTCCAGTATACTCAGAAGCATATAGATATAGGGCAAGATGATGTAATATCATTGGTAAGTGCTCAGGTACTCACTATGATGTGTCATTTGACTTATTTTTGGATCCCTTTACTATGCTAGGGCCGTCCCTGTTTAAATAGTATATTAAAGTGCAGGCAACAATTCGCATCTATATATATGGGTATCAAAAGATTCAGATGATAAATTAAAGGCTTTAAATATTACTTAATTATTTGGGCTTAGTTGACATTCTCAAGAGACCAAATCTCCTGTAGCCTCGGAAATAGGCTAAAGATTAACAGTGTAAAACTCTATAGACTTGAATGAATTTAGGCTTATTTACTGTAGTGCTCTCTGAAATTTTGGTCAAATCTCACTTTACTCTCTGAAAATTAAAATGACCAACTTTACTCCCTTGACCGATCTTTTGCATTTCAATGTACTCCCACCGTCAAGTCAGTCAAAAGCTCTATTAAAAATGTCGATGTGGCATGTCAGCATTTTTAACAGAGTTTTTGACTGACTTGACGGTAGGGAGTAAATTGAAATGCAAAACATCGTTCAATGGGGTAAAGTTGGCCATTTTTAACTTTCAAAGAGTAAAGTAAGATTTGATCAAAGTTTTAGGGGGTACTACAATAAATAAGCCATGAATTTATATGATTTATGCGCTAAAAAACCTGACTTCCAATAGCTAACCATTGAATGAGGATCTGGTTCAATATAGGTTCTTTTTTCCATGTCTCAAGACAAATAAGGACTTTATTAGTTCTCTAATACAAAGCTACAAAATAAGAAAAACAAAAAACAAGTAAACAATATAACAGATCGATGAGATTTGATAAGAACTCAGAATGCTACAAAATAAGAATAAAGTAGGATTTAACCGAAGTTTCAGGGGATATTGGTGTAATTAAGCCTAAGCATTTCAATTTCAACTAGCTTTTATTTACTACATACATTTCCTCTACACGCTCCCGTGAGATTTGTGAAAAGTTTATCAAGTTTCAAGAAACTTTGATCCGGCGTAAGTTTTGTCATCCAAACTTTTTATGCATACCAACCAACCTTAGGTTAGAACGCATGAAGCACGTGAGGCGGAAGTCTTTCAATAATATTAGATTTTGAGGAGAAAAAAGTAAATTATTAGTGTGAAAAGGTAAGAAAATTTTAGTAGTAATTGTAATTTTGAGGATATTAATAAAACGTCAAAATGTGTCGAATTTGACATTAATGGTCAAGACAAGAGGGAATTTTAATCTTTACAATTGATTTTTTTAATCCTTCATTTAGAGACTATGTGAAACTCATGGCCCATAAGCATTATAACAATCGCAAAAGTTCTTGAGTTACAAACCTCTTATTATTTCTTTCGTTTAATGTAAAGTAACATGGAGGAAGGAGGGATCCAACACGTAACCTGAATCCTCTTGCATTCCAATGGCAATAAATGCATAATGGATGCAAACCTTAACTTCATAGATTGAAGCCAAGTTCAAGGATTTCTTTTTTGTTGGTACATATCTTAACCCAATTCAGGTCTAGAGGTCTCTATAGTTGAGTTCAAATCTAAGCTGTTTCGCTATAAAATAAAAGCTCAAAATTATCCATTTTTTACCTTCTTTTTTTCAAAACTTTTATTTTAGAAGATCATGTCTCACGTGAATGTCATAGAAACTATGGGCGGTATAAGCCATTTCAATAAGCTTTTTTTTTCTTTTTTTTCTTTTTTTTGGGGTAACTGCTGCATTCATTTTCTTCGTGTTTCGTGTGAGATCCGTGAACGTTTACTGTGTGTTTTCGCATAAAATCCACGAACGATTTGTTTGTAGCTCAACAAACTGTTGTCAAGTTATTGATTTTATCGCCTAAATTTTCTACAAATACCTCCACCCCTTCCTGAAGTCAGTCATATTTTTGTACTCAATCTCTTTGGTCAGGTTACCAATTTAAAACTTGAAAGACAATTTTTAGGTTTTAGAGAAAGGAGAATGAGGAGCGAGAGGAGGAAAGGGATGAAAAGGGAAGGAGAGTGGGAATGGAGAGGAGAACTTGAGAGACATTTAAAACTACTCAAAAAAAAACCTATTTCATGAGTGTAGAAATGAGTGTCATGGGAGAGACAATTAAAATTAACTTCAAGCATCCAAGCTCTTGCAAAGGTATATGTCTTTCTTTTATTAAAATAAGTTGGATACATTGTATTATTTTCTTTTTTATCTGTATATGTCATATCAACGAATTGATCACCAATTGCCTCTCTCCTGCTGCCAGTAGACTTTCATCCGAAGACAGAAGAGTTGAGCTTGGAGTATCACAGAACAAGGCCAGCGGATCAGGTGAAGAAAATCTGCAAGAGAAAGAAATCATGATTTGCAGCAAACTTCAAGTATGTATTTTCTCTCTATCTTGCTTAAATTAATATCTGGTTCAACTTTTTTGTTTTTGTTTTTGTTTTTGTTTTTGTGTGTGTACTGTTTCAGTTGTAGAAGAATTGCCAAAACACGAGCAGATTGATGAAGGCAGGCATGAGAGAGCAAGTTTTGTGACCATTATGTAGAGCGATAATGTTATCGAACAAGATAAACACAATTTTTTTTATTGTGAAAGTTCTAGTAGTGTACATGCATTGAATTCTAATTGTAAATTGATATTGTGGTATAAATTATTAGTGTAATTTTCCATTAATCATAGTGAATGATTACTTTGGAATTTTAGTAATTTTGTGGGTGTACGAAAACGTTATTATCTAATGCTATTTTCAACAGTGGTTTTTCATAGAAAAAGTTATCTATTTTATAAACAATCTAATACTATTTCCACAACGGTTTTAGATAACAACCGTTGTGGAAGGTGATCAATTACAATGGTTTTAGGTAATGACCGTAGTGGAAGTAGGGAAATTACATCATCTCTAAATAAAATTGTTGTAGAAGTGATAAATTACAACGGTTTTATGTGAAAACCGTTGTGGAAGGATTCAAATTGCAACACTTGTTATTTTAAGGGAGACTTTGGAAAAACACAAAGGAGATAGAAATGTTGTAAAAGAAGCCAAAATGAACAAAATTGCCCTTATTTATTTTTGGATTTCCTAAGGAATCATTTACATTTGCATGTCTTTGATTTGAAAGTTGAGAGGTTTTTCTGTCTTTTTTGAAAAAGCTTTGGCTTTTTCCAAAAGTGAAAATTTTTGTTTGGCTAAAACCTAAATTTACTTTATTGTGGTGTTGTTGTTTAAACCATTGTGGAAGTTAACCAATTACAACGATTGTACATAAAAAGAAGGGTGGAAGGTGACCAATTACAACGGTTTTCATAGATAACAGTTGTGGAAGAATACAAACTACAACGGTTGATAAACCGTTGTATATAAACTGTAGAATAGTCGACATTGCTAAAGTCAAAGGTTTTAGAACTGAAATCACAACGGTTTTCAGCCGCTGTCTATTAGAGTCATATAAGATTTGGGGTTGTTCTAGAGGTGACTAGTTCAATGTAAGAATTTATTAGTCATATAGAAGGGGCCCTCAACTATACTCGGAGTTACATTTTGGTCACTCGACTCAAATATTAGTTGTAGAGGTCACTCAATTAGGTGTTTTGTTGCACTATTAGTCTTTACCGTCAAGTCTCTCTAACGGTAGGGACTAAAGGTGCAACACAACACCTAATTGAGTGACATCTATAACTATTTTTTGGAGTTGAGTGACCAAAATGTAACTCCAAGTATAGTTGAGGGATCATTGCTACAAATATTCCTAACTGAAAAGTCACATTTGCTCATCAATAATCTAAGAGATGCTTGTTACGTCATCATTTTAAACATAAAAAATTATAGACTTGACGGTAGGGACTAATGGTGCAACGCAACACCCAATTGAGTGACATCTGCAACTAATATTTGAGTTGAGTGACTACAATATAACTTCGAGTATAGTTGAGGGATCATTGCTACGAATAACCCTATAGAAGGGCCAAGACTACAAAGAGATTATCAAGATCTTGTACTTGTATAAATCATTATAACTTTCATAGTCCCTCATGTCATGTATGATTAAGATTTTCAATCAGTGTTATTAACTTCTAGAAATTTGATTACGACAGCATCTCATATATCTCAAAGGTTTTGGAGTTATCAAGAGAAAATAAAAAGAGAAAGGAAATTTGTTCTTTCATAAGTAATAACAAAAGGGAAAGCAAAAACAAGAACATCCACCTTATTCTTGGTAGTTCTCAGTCCCCAATGTCGTGGCAAGTTCAAGAATTTGTTGGACATTTAACTGTCAATTCAGTTCAGTTCCACCAACCCATTACTTAAGTTAGGAATTATCTGTTTCTCGTTTCTTTTTTTTCTTTTTTTAAGAATTTTTTATTTCGAAAGATGTTATCACATGAACTGTTATAGAAATCGAGACACGTATCATAACCGTTTCAATTTAATTTTATTTACACATTCACGTGAAATTTGTGAAAGATTTGTCGTGTTTCAACAAACTTTACTCCCGTAAGTTTTGTCACCCAAATTTTTTATAAATACCAGCCCTATGTTATAACTCACGAAACATGTGAGCCTCAAGCCTCTCAATAATATTGAATTTTGAGGAGAAAAGAGGAAATTAAATAACAATGTGAAAGGCTATGGAAATTTTAGTTTTAATTCCATCTTACACTAACGGAAAAAATAAAAAGGAAGTTTAATCCGTCTCCTCCATTCCCTGATATGAAAAATTATAGAAAATAATAATAAACTGACCTAATGTATGCTATTAAAAATTATAAAAATAAAAAAAAGGAAATAATATATACAATATTTCTGTAAAGAAATACAAGATCTATTAACAAGTACTTAACATGTATATACCAGTGTTTTCAAAGGCATGCCTTCGCGCGCGTCGGAGCGAGGCGGGAGGAAAACGCCCGAGGCGGTCAGTTGTTTCGCGAGTTGCACGTTTAGTGCTGGGAAGGCGTGAGAAGGCGTTGCAAGGCGTGGCCAGGCGGAGCGAAGTGTTGCAAGGCGCACCATATCTGGAAACTTCTGAACCATAAGAAATTTTCGAGTCTGCAACTCATCTGCGAGGAAGACGGCGTCGCGAGGAAGACGACTCCTTTTTTTTTTTTAGGTTTATTGTAATGAAACGATGTCGTTTTGATTGCAGTGTTTAAAAAAAAAAATCTTAAAGTGAAATGACGTCGTTTCACTTGGTGTTGAAAAAAAAACACTATTTCAGTTTTTTTAACTTACCTTTATTGTAATAAACTTATTGCAAGAATTAAATTTTTTTTTTCTAACTCCAACCCTGCTTTTTAGCTTTTCTTTTTTTTTTTTTTTTTTTTTTTTTTTTTTTTTTCTTCTTCTTCCTCTAAATTAATATATTAACACATGGACTATACATATATATATATATATTGTATAGTACATGTAGGACCCTAATTTCTACTTATATATATATATATATATATTGTATAGTACATGTAGGACCCTAATTTCTACCCTTAGCAGATAACTCCATCAATTTCAAGAATTCTCTTCATCTTTCGATTGCAAGTAAGTCATTTGTTTTTTTACGTACATGCATCATACTTGTATAATTTGACTGTAATAAACTGTAATTTGAAGTTCCATATATTTTTTTTCAATTTTTATTTATTTATAAATATACTAGTTATCTTATTCGTTTATGTGATATAGTGGAAATTTGACGTACATGCATCATACTTATATATCTTAGATTAATGGTATTGTTTTATAGCTATGATATTAGTGTTGAGAAGTGGGATGAGTGAATTATGTTTTTGTTTTGATGTTGAATAAATATTTTATGTTTTGGAATTGATTATTATGCTTTGAATGACAATTAGTACTTATATTTGATTATATTTAAAAGACTGTTATGGTTGAATAAGAATTAGTTGTACAATTTAATTGTATTGTATTATTCATAAATTTTTCTTATTAAAATAAATTAATTTTCAAAAGACTTACGCATCAACGCTTCAAGGCTTACGCCTCGCATAGCTCTACTAAAAAAGCCTCGCCTTTGAAAACATTGGTATATACAACAGTTCTAGAGATTTCAACTTATTACATCAACCAATGTGTATGCAAACAAAAGAGAAAAAAAAGATGGAGGAGGGGCTCATGACCACTCTAGTCCCTTAGTGGCTCCGCTCCTTACTTCAATGGTAGCGTAAGTAGTTTCATTGTTCACCGCAAAAGTACCATTCTTATTTGCCCTTTTCCTTCAATAATCATACAAAATAAAGTCTTTAACATATCCTTAAATTTGGTGTGGGCATTGAAAAATAAGAGAGCATTGCACATGTTAATGTTTCATAGGATTGTCCTATTAAAAAGGTCTCATCACAAACAAAAATTTTCAATTTTTGGACATTCCAAAGCATGAGAATCAGATCCATTGTTTAGGGATCTTTCCAATGTACTTTCGGCCACGAATGTGAAGAAAGAAGGATACCTTATCACCCTTCTTCATCCTTCTTTCGTCTCATCTTATGAGGATTAATTATCTTCTTAATCTTGCTTTTGCTTTTTCTCCACCTAAAGCTGCCTACTGCCATGTCTGATTACTTCATTAAGCACCCTTTACATGTTTGAGACCTGCAATCAGCAATAAATTTATTAACCATTATTTTGTGGCTGTGGATAAATAAAGGTCCCCTATCAAACTTTACTTGTTCGTCCTGTCAGCCTCGTCATTTAGGTTTATGGGCCTCAATTCACTGGCCAGTCAGGCTTCGGCCTGACCCGATTTGAGTTCATGACTCGTCGTTTTGAAGAGAATAAGAAGACGATTCAAAGTAACTGATTTGCCGTGACATACGAGGTTCTTAGGTCAAATAACAACTTTTGCTGGGTTAATACAGTGTTTTAACTTTAAGTTTAAAGGATAGAAATGAAAAACTTCTCAATTACGATGAAAAATTAATTAGAATTTCAATGAAAGCCTGAGTTTTCTCATCAATGCTGGTCAATCTGTCTTTTCCAGGAGTATCCAGTCAATGTTAAAAAGAAAATAAAAGAAATTTTAGGGCAGATATGTTCCATCTGTTTTAGTAGTATTTTTCCAGAACAAATATGAGAAAGTGCAAGTTACATAGTAGTTTGATTTGATAAGACCCTTATGGAATAAATCATAGCCAGAAGCCCAATTTCTAATAAATATTCCTAATAAACTGCATACACAAGGAATAGAAATCAGTGGCAAATTCTAGTTTTCCTCTACTTCCACTTTACAAATAAATTGGTAAAAATTATTTTTATTATTATCTATTAAATTTAAGAATTACCCAACAACTGGCTGCGTGCCTCTTAAGAGCATCTAACATCATCTTCATCCTCCTAGAATAGCAGTTGAAGAATACAGAAGCAAAATAGACAAGAAAAGCATTCCCACCAAAGTTGCAAATAAACACTATTTTTCATTCTTTTTTTTCCCTTTCTTTCTTTGATGAATATATTATTACCCCCACAGAAAAGCTAGCGTAGGCACTCCAAAAGAAGAATCCCCACCACATCCCACGCAACCTATTTGCCCCTCCCATTTTCCAACATCCCCAGAATGTCCTTGTCCCCTTTTCTCATCTATTCTATCAAAATCAAAATACTCACACTGCTTTCCTTTCCACTTCATTCCTTTATCTAATGCTATTACAAAGCAGAAACGAACATGTTTGTGAGGTACAAAGTATAACTTACAGTTCAGCAAAACCTTATCTTGAGTATTGGATTGTGTATTTTTTTGTTTCTAGATTCACATTGACGTCAGTGTTACGATTATCTGACTCAATTGTTTTAAGTTTTTTTCTTTTTCTGAGAAATGGTGAATTTTGGTTATTTGACTGCACAATCAATGCTATATGTTTTTACTTGTATTATGGTGAGTTAAGCTGTGGTCGTGACTGATTTCTAGTCGAAAATGCATGTAAACTTTATCATGGGACTAACCTAATTTTATATAATTCACGTAAACGACTGACAATAGCACTCCTATAAACCATATGCACCGCAATTTTTATTTTATTTTTTTCCGTTTCTTCTAATGTACATAAACTGGGAAAAGGAAAAAAACCATGATCACTTTTCCTGAGCATGTGAGTTTCAGCATAATGTGCAAGACTGCTTTTGTTCACAACTGTATTCAACAAAATTGTGGATTCCAAGTAGACTAAGTGGGATTATGTTCTCACCACTTCCCACTAGAATGTTAAGAAGCATCTTTCCTTGAAGAAAAGGAATAATGGGAAACCATTGGTGCATAGCCAAATGGCAAATGTAGGCTTAGACTTGACTGCTTTTTTTAACTGGTTAGTTGTTGAAGAATTCTTTAGATAGGTCATTTAAACTAAACAAAACTGTTTTCACCAATTGTTGAGAAAATAAAAGATTGAAAAAGAAAACATTTTGAGGAAATTTAGTAAATAAAAGGCTATAAATGTCAATTGAAAAGAAAGGCTAAAAGCAAAAGAATGAACATTTCTCTCACACCTCTCTATAACTTTCTTCTCCACTGCCTCTACTTTCCTCTCTCTGCACTTTACCTTAATCCCTAAGTCTTCTTTACCTTCTTCTTCTTCCTTCCATTTGTTCTGTTAACAAAAAGAACATTGAAGCCAGGGCTTCATTCTGTCTACTCTATGTGTTCTTCAATGGCAGAGAGTGAGACACAGTCTAATTACAGCAAACACCAAAAGTTGGTCCCAGAACAAAACCATGAAAACCCAAGTAAGTTTTACAATCATTTTCTATACAAAGTTGTTCTAGTTGTAGTTTTCTTTGTTATTCTCCCACTTTTTCCTTCACAAGCTCCTGAGTTCTTCAACCAAAGTGTACTCACCAGAAGCTGGGAGCTTCTGCACCTTCTCCTTGTTGGCATAGCAGTCTCTTATGGGCTTTTTAGCAGAAGAAATGACATAACAGAGAAGGAAAACACTAACGCAAAATTCGATAATGCTCATTCATATGTGTCTAGATTTCTTCAGGTGTCTTCAGTTTTTGATGATGAGACTGAAATTCCATCTGGCTCTGATGAGAACAAGGTCCAGTCATGGAGTAGTCAGTATTACAGGAACGAACCGGTGGTGGTTGTAGCTCAAGAACACTCTGCTCTTGATGAAAAGAGAGGTACCGCTTCAAGAATTGGTGAAAAGCCATTGCTTTTGCCTGTTAGGAGCTTAAAACAACATGTTCCTGATACGGCTAATATAGGGTCTGTTAATGAATCTAGTGCCAGTTCTGGTTCTCTAAGTAGGTCTAACTCAAGGTCAGGCTCGAGAAGGTTTTCGAGCAAATTGAATAACAAGGCTCTAGGTGGTGAATTTGGAGGGTTGGATCATCAAGAATTGGAGGAGAATTTGAAGGAAAGTGTTGTGCTTCCTTCTCCAATTCCATGGAGATCAAGATCAGGAAGGATTGATGTGAAGGAAGAAATTGTTAACAGTCCTCCAATGGAGGAATTTGAGCTTAACCGCCAAGAGTCTTGGGGTTCGAGGTCCCAAAGTTCTCGATCTTCGAGATCGAATTCCTTGTCTTCATCCCCAAAGCTGTCTCCTTCCCCATCACTTTCGTCTCCAAAGAAGGCATCTCCTTCGCCTTCATTGTCATCGGAGTCTCAAGCCAAGAATGCCGAGGATTTGGGGAGGAAGAAGAGCTTTTACAAGTCCTGTCCTCCCCCGCCTCCGCCACCCCCGCCAATGTTTTATAAGTCATCATCAATGAGACCAAGCAGAGATGGGGTTTTGTATGAGAAGGACTTGAGGAGAAGCTTCAGTAGTGAAACAAGGGACTTGAATAGGAGCAATGGAGAATATGTGATGGGGAGAGTGAACTCAGGGGTTGAAACCATGCATCAAAGCTATGTTGATGGTTTATTAATGGGGAAATCAATGAGAACAAGCAGAGCTGGAGAAAATAGGGCAGGGGCCTTGAGATCAGGCAGAGAGATGGGGGAGTATGGATATGTAAATGGCAATGTGGAGAAAAACTTCAAGCAAGTTAATGAAAATTTGGTGGAGAAAGCTGCAAGAAAGAGGGTAGGATTTGATGAAACTTCTTTTATTGGGACAGAGAACTTGGGGCATGAAAGCATCCCCAATATGCCAAACTCAGCTTTCAATGGATTTTCAGAGGAGGAGAAAGAAGATTTTCTCGACAGCGTGATTATGGAATCGGAGGAAGAAACAGAAAGTGAAGATGACAACTTCGGAGGAAGTTTCATCCAGAAAGACATTGAAGAGACCCCAAAGCCAACTCCAAGGAATTTCGTTTCGGCTTCTAGCAGTGGAAGTGATGGAGGGCCTGATGTGGATAAGAAAGCTGATGAGTTCATAGCCAAATTCAGGGAGCAGATTAGGCTTCAGAGAATAGATTCTATCAAGAAATCGAGTGCTCAGATCAGTAGAAACTTGTCAAGGTAAACAGGATGAATTAATTAAACTCGGTGATTATAGTTCCCTTTCCTTGGGTTTTGTGTTCCAATTGACTTGGTATCATAGCTTGTGTTTCAAAATTATGATCATGGTATACAAAGATTTATATGTTTTCTTTTTTCTTTTTCTTTTTTGGTTTTGGTATGGACAGTACACCAATTGCACTGGTTAATAAAAATTTACCCTCTTTGTTATGGTTTTCATTTTCTGTTCCTTCTGTTGTAAAGAAAAATCCAAAGCCATTTTTAGCCAAGCCCCCACAAGAATTTTGAGTTTTCGGAAAATAGTTGTGCTAGTCCATGCATGAAAGATTAGGGAAAAAAAATATGGCTGATTAGGATAAACTTATGAGCTACTGTTGCTTAGGAGAAAATCAGGATGCTAATTGGGTATCGGATTCTTTGGTTCAGTCCAAGTCTAACGCGGCATCTTTACAAGAGGCGAGGGAAGACGTGCATCGTTCAAAGTGAGCTATGTGTAACAATTTTTTAAACATATCACGAATATCCGGAATAATACAATTTAAAATCAGAGAACAAAAAAAGGACTATAGGAAAAGAAACACATAACAGGCTTCTTTTTTTACTGGCAGAGATATGAGTGCTCATGCCTTATCCCTAAGCCACCCTGGGATCCGCTGTCGGTGTCTCGCTGCTTATGGAGATGCAATTAGTGCTGAACCAAAAATTGGCTCATATGAACCACAAATGTCTTGCTGCTAAAAGTAATAATGTTCCTATTAAATTTACATTTGGGTTTATGCAGGGAGATGCAGTGACTAAAGATGAAGTGGGCTGCCTCTTCCACATTTTCTTGTTACTTTTTATACAAGTGATAAAAACAAAACCAATTATAAATTGAGAGTAACGTCGGCTGCAAAAGTATATGCACATTTTTTGGGGAAGTTAGAACATCCCATAAACATGCTTAAATTGTATAAATCTAGGAAATTCCTAATCTAAACAAACTTATAGTTGCCTCCAGTATCTCAAAAAACGACATATAGACAAGAAAATGTGACACTTAATTTTTCTTGGTAAAAAATTGAAACAATGATAAAAGTACATTTTCTCTTAGTTTGCTTACTTTTCTAATGAAAATTATGTCAAAAAGTCATAATAAACATGTTGCTCATTTGCATACAATTGATATGTGACAAGGTCAATACGTCATTTGCATACAATTCATCCAAAACTTACAATGTTATTTTGTTCACGTACTTTTTATGTATATATTGCTCTTAATTTTAGATGTAGTACAATCACATTACATGTACTCAGAATATTAAAATTGGCACAAATTTACAATCTGTTTGCAAAGCTAATCAAGCATAAAAAGCACTAATAACGAGAATCATTTCTCATGTTGTGTGAATCATGATAGATATAGGATGATAGAAAAACATTAAAAACCATGGAGGAAATTCCCAATGCCGATACATTCAGATCTAACAGAGAAACTAAAGGAGAACGAGCAACATCATCAGAAGATACGGAATGGCAGCGAAGAGACTCGACAGCCTCTAGTAGAATGGGGCGGCGTGGTAGAGACAGGGGAGATAGAATCCTAGTTCATTCTAATCCCTAGAAGACGACCACCAAGACTGAGCATCCGAACTACCACGGTCACCCGAGCTATCATGATTCCAAATACCATCCTAACGAGAAGAATTATGGGGGCTCTTATAAGGAGATGAAATTGTCGATGAGTGACATGCAAAAGTACCAATAGATTTACTCCGTAAATTGATGGTACCCCTTAAATTAAAAAAAGCATAGGTAAACTGGGCTAATAAACTAGGATTAAGGGACCCATGAATGATTTCATACTTTTCAATGCACACCTGAGTAGGATGATAACAATATTCAGGAATATATTCATACTTAAACCACTATTTTCTCTCCCACCTCCGGCAAGGTAACTGGAATCCATCAAATAAAGGGATGTGTGACGTCAAACCGCACACGAATACAAATAAAGCTCCCCACACAATCAATACCATCACGTTTATCCACCCAAAGAACTCCTCCGACAGTGGCCTCAATAGCTTTAGCAACGGCAATAGTCACACAAAAACCAGGAACACCCTAGAATTGAACCCAAAAAGTGCCAAATGACAGAGACATAGAATGCGTACTTCTAGCATCTGAGAGATCGGCCAACAAAATCAAATAGCGCCGAAACTCCCGGGGTTCCATATCAAGGACTCGTTTTTTATCACGATCACAAGCAAAACGCACCCAAAATCTATTGAAGTCAATTCCTTGATAGAGACATCTGCAGAGCCTTTCCATAGTTGCAAGAAGGTTCTAATAAACCTATCCCGATTGGCAAGTTGATATGTAAGAACCTTAGCCACAAGATTATAAATGATTCCAACAAAAGTATCGTAGACGTCAGAAGAACCAATAACCACACCAACATGTTCGCATGGCATGAGAACCAATCGGCTCCCAAATGACCCTTCAATATCAGCACCGGTAGCATCACGATCAGAAGCCGGAGAAGACATGGCGACAATGGCAGGAGCCTAAAGAAGACCAGCCCCAATATCAAGGAAATCAAGCCACCAAACCCCTAAGACTTGGCTGAAAAATGAGGGGAGCAAACGGCCGTGAGAAAGATCCAACACGAGCACACCAGACCCAAGGAGTATCGAGAGAGAATGGAGGATCGAACGATACTGAACAGGATCGGACCAGACCGGACCGGCTGCGTATTTGTTTTAAATTATTTAAGTCCAATGCTAAATTTCTAATCCTATAACTAATATTTCCCCAAGCCTAACTTCAAAGCACCTTTCTTTTCTAGGCCCAATCATTCTCTTTATATGAAATTGGATCATTTGTGAATTTTTTAATCCAAAAAATAAAATTTTTGTTGGAATTTGTAAAATTAAATAAAATAATATCTTGCTCGAACTGAAAAAACTGAAAACCACACCGGAACTGGTTTAAACCGGACCGATTTTATTTAAAAAATTCACTAAAATCGGACCAAACTGCACCGGTTAAATAGTACCAATTTCAATTCCAATATGAGATCGAAACCAAAACAGACCGAATCGCGCTCACCCCTACATTTTACATTAGTCTTCTTCTTTTCCTAATGAAAATTATGTCAAAAAGTCACACACAAAAAACATGTTGCATTTTCAAGAAAACAAATTTGCATTTTCAAGAAATGAAAATGCGTTTGATAGATTAATTAGAAAACATCTTCATGAAACAAAAACAATGAAAACATGTTTGGTAGTACAATTTGAAATAATAATATGTGAGTTATTTTTATGAAAACAACTTTTTTCTGTTTTCTACAAGTACACATGAACTTGTTTTCATTTTATGACAACATTCTTAATGTTTTCTGTTTTTGGGCCTGTAGGGGACTTTTTCTTCCTGCAGCTAATGGGTTGGGCTTGCTGCAAAAGGCAAACTGAGGAGATTGCCCCTTTTTGTTTAGGTTCGAAAATTAAGCCCCAAAATACCTCGAAAGGGCAGCAAAACCGTAGGAGATATTTTGGATAATCTTCACCAACGAGAATAATGGTGACTTGCAGATAGTTTTGGCATGCTTACAGATGGTCTTTTCAGCTCAGCATGAGTGGCATGTGGCATGGGAGCAAAACCAACACAGGTTTAGCACTAAGAGAGAAATTAGGCTTGGTTTATGAGAAAAGAAAGTGTTTAAGTAAGGAATGAGGTGTTTTGTGAGGAATTTGACTAGGGAAAGAGGAAAAAGAAAGGTAGAGTTCTTCTGGCAGCTGCCAGAAAAACAAATTGGAGAAGAAGATGAACAGTGCACGAGTTTGTTGAGTTTTTGCAAGATAGAGAAAAAGCTTGCTCTCTGCAGGTTGTTGGTTCCTATGAGGTACAGAGGTTCTAATGGAGAGGGAGAGAGGTTCTAAGGAGGTTTGATGAAGAGGGAGAAGGATGGTGAAGAGTTTTGGGTGACTTTCGCAGTTTCCGACAGCTTGACAGTGACTCTGTCAAAGCTTCTGTCAATCTGCCAAAACATGGGAAATAAAGGAAAATGAGGAAGGATAGCACGAAAATTCCTGGGTTTGCATCTGAGAGAGAAAGCTTGCTCTCTGAAGGTTGTGGGTTGTTCCTATTGGGTAGGGGAAGGCTCAATTTATAGCTGCTGGAAATCATCGTTTTTCAAGAAGCCCTAATGGCTTCCACTTATTTTGGCTAAGTTTTTTTCTTCCTTTCTCCTCCTCTTCTCTGACTTCCCCTTTCTTGGCAAAGATTGCTTCTGTCTATTTACATGAATTCAAGGGATTTGGGGGCTCAACATCCTCTTTTCCCGCAACCGTGCAGTGGGAGCTTCCACTCTTGGTTTGCTGTTTTTTCTTCTTTCCTTTCCTCTGTTTTTAACCAAATATGGGGAAGGAAAGGAAGTGAAGATGCATACTGGTCCAAGGGATGCTTCTGACAACATGCGGGATAGTACTCATCGATTCTTTGGATGTCTCTGGCTTGGGACTTGTTTCCAGCAGCTTTGCTTAAGGAGTCTGCCATCCTCTCTTCACGTGTCCTCTGTTTTCAAAAGCTGAGGTTTTTTGTGGACTATTTTAGGATTTTATATGGGGCAAGGTGATTTCCTAAGCAAAGGGTTTTTATTAAACATTGGGCTTCTTAGTTTGGGCTTTATTTTGGTTGGGTTGTTTTGCTTGGGTATTGGGCTATCTTTTTCTCTTGTGCTTACCCATATGTTTGGGCCTAAGAAATGGGCTTGAGCCTCAAGGCTCCCAAGTAACCCGAGACTTTTCATTTCCCGGCCCATCAATGGGCCTCATGTTGATTTATTACCATCCATGCCACAACCCACTCAAGCAAGCCCCGGGTTTTTTGACTGGCTTGGGCCCACCTAGGCTTGTAGCGTGGTTGGGTGCGAGATAACGGCATGGCATGTTGCTCGGCATATTTTAATTTATCGCCCTTGGGAAGGATTGTTTTAATTTTAGCATGAGTTAATCATATTTTTATCGCGAATCATAGCATGATAATTTGTTTATTTAGCGTGGCATGTGGATTATAACTCGCATGTGATACACCTTTTTTTCTTTTCCCTTATGGAATATTGTATTTGGCTAATAATTGCTCAGGCCCAATCCATGGATTTTTTGGGCCTCAACAGGGCCACCAAACGTGTTTTTGCCTCATTTTTGTTATCTGAAAATGAAAACAACCCCTTAAAACGTTGCCGAACGGGCCCTAACTATTCATCCAAAACATACCAATGTTATTTTGTCCACACGCTTTGGGCTTTTCAGAGGAAGTTAAGGAATTGGGCTTCAAATCCCAAATCTATAACAACAGATTGGGGTCAGCAATTCGTCTTCTTCTTTAAGCAGAAATTGGACTTCACCTGAAGAATTCTGAGTTTACTTTACCTGAAGATTTGGCAAACTAAGTGGGTTCCTACATGTGAAGAATCTAGTATTCTTTTGAAAAATAAAAAGATACAAAAGAAAAGGGAAGCGAAAAATACTTGTCGTTAAGAACTTCAATGGACATCCATAAAGAAACAACATTATATGAACTATCAAATTTAAGATAATAACATTAAAGAAACAAAACACTTCGAATTGAAGATAATACATAAAAAAAAACAAGACACAATTTGTCCATTGAACAAAAAAATACATAAAAAAAGTTATAGTCCAAGAACAACAAATCCAGCTTCCTTTTCATTCTGCAACTTCATCAAAGAACATTCACAGTATGGACAGGTTTTCATTCCGCAACTTCATCAAAGAACATTCACAATATGGACATCCTTTCAAGTCTGCACGATCATATTCTTCAAATTATCATAACTCACATACCATTTAGAAAAGCTACAAGAACTTCACTCCTCTGCCCTGCACGGCGTTACCTTTTGATTTCAAGTCAAATCATTGAGTTTAATGATCAATTCTTTGTGAACAATAAGGGCGATGCAACCGAGAGACGAGCATAAGTTTTGTGCAACAGTTCTTGAAAAGCTATCAAGAAGGCAAAGTGTATAGGTTTCAATTGATATTTTCTCATCCCAAGAATTACCCAATTGTGATAAAAGTTGCATCACATTTTCAGTAGAGCATGGAGTCGAGCACTTGGCGCTCAAGATCAAGAACTTCAATCTCCATACATGTCAAAAAATTTAAACTTCAATGAGAGATATTTGGTTAAGCAAAAATTTCTTGTCGATAAGAAGTTTCTTGTTCAGTGAGAGATAATTTTTATATATAATTCATTTTCCTATATAGTGGCGTACTATGTATATATATATAGAGATTTATACAAATTGACGGCCGCCTTGTGCTCAAGGCCAACAATTCCGAATCTATAATTACAACAAACTTAATTATAAAATGTAACATTTCGTTAGTCTTTGTAAAAAAATGGAAACCATAATAGAATTACATTTTTCCTTAGTCTTCTTATTTTCCTAATGAAAATTATGTCAAAAAGTCACAACAAAATACATGTTGCTCACATGCATACAATTGGTATGTGACAAGGTTTGCAATGGTATTTTGTTCACGAGCTTTTTATGTATATATTGCTCATAATTTTGCATGTAGTACAATCACATTAAAAGGCAAAAAAAAAAAAAAAAAGATCCCAAATCAAAAACATGTGAGGAATATAGTATTCTTTTGAAAAATAAAAAAGATATTTAGTAATATACCCATTCGTAGCACTAAAACTATAAATAAATCCTACACTATTTAAAAACTATAAACATATCCAAAAAAAACCCAAAAAATAATAGCTGGCCTTATTGAATTTAATTTTAATTATTAAATTACTTTGATGTCCCATTGAGTGTTTTAGGATTTTTGTGAGATTTTTGGATTGGGTTTGTTTTAAGAAATCAGTGGCAGTTTTGTAATTTAAAAAAGTTAAAAGCTTTTTTTGTTATGTTATAAATGAATTTTGGGTGTATTTTTAAAGTCCATTTCACATAGGGTTTTTTTATAATTTGGGCTCCTATATTGGGTATTATAATGAATCTCCCAAAATAAAAAGATAAAAACAAAACATCAAGATCTGAAGAATCAGAACCCAAATATTATCAAGGATTTCATTTGCTGTCTTCAACCTATGATATTCTTTCCAAAACAATCAAAGATACCCAAAAAAATCTTCAAGAAAGCATGCAACACTCAAAATTGGTTAACTTGCCAAATGATTGCCAAAATGAAAAGACCAAACTAACCATCAATGTCCAGTTTCATGAAAATTTTAAATGAACAAGTAATTCACTGAATATAATATTCCCCCAAAGATAAGAGTTTTGACATTCTTGACTTGAGAAAAGAAAAAGATTAGCCAGAATTGAGGAACAAGTCTTTTTTTTTGGTCAAACACTTGAGAAGAAGCCCCTAGAATCAGGAACCTGTCCACACACCCCCCCGTGACTAAAAATCATGATCTCTCAATATTCAACCCCAAATCCCTAAATCCAATTTCCCCCCACCAATTGGGGGTCTTTTGAATATTATACAAAATGGGGAGAGACAAAGGAGATCAAAACTAATTAAATAAATACAATCTCTTCTTCTTGTTTTAACAAATGTTAAAATGAAACTTGTTTTTTTAATTAGACATTACACTTTACAACAAGCCTCTTCTTTCCCTTTCTCCTTTCCCCCACCACACGAAGGAATTAGGGGAGGAAATATTAGAACCAACCAAACCCTAATCTACAAAAGAAGATGAAGGTGATGATGATGATGGTGAAAATGATGGGTCAAAATAATACAAAACATGTAGACCCACCAAAATCACATCCCTTAACCACCGTATCTTAGAGGCCTAGACTTGGGAATATATATAAGAATTGGTACGCTATTACAACCGCTTCTTTTTTTGACATCCCACTCCGTACAGATTCTAAAATAGTAGTAACATACACAAAACAGCCTCACTTTCTAAGATAAAGGGGATTTTTCTTTTCTCCTTTACATAGGATTTCGCTATTTTTCTCCCTTGCAAAATGACCAAAATGCCCTTCTTGGGTCCAGTGATTTACGTCCGGGTGTGGAAGGCGTCGAACGGCAGCGGACGGTGGGGGATTGGGGTGGCGGATGCCCACGGGTTGATGGGGATGGGCCGGGTCTGGACCGAACCCATTTGGGGGTGGGGGTGGGGCCGGGGCTCGACGGTTGAGGATGAGGAGTTGGGTGGGACCGCGACACGCTCACACGAGGGGCACATGGTGAGTGTCGTGGGTGGGGTCATTTGCATGTAGAACTGTGGGGAAAGTTTCAGTGCTCTCAGCTCCTGAACCTCCTTCTGCAACCGCCTGTTCTCTTCTGTCAGATTCTCACAGCACCTCTTCAAGAACTCACAGTCCACCTCCGTTTGCTTCAACTTAGTCCTGCAAAAAAGATAACAAAAAAAACCTGTAAATAAGCCTACTCCACAAGGGCATAACCGTAATCTGACAATATTTTTGTTTTTGTCCAAAATACTAACCTTGCTCTTCTGTTCTGAAACCAGACTTCCACTTGTCTAGGCCGGAGACCAAGCTGTTTAGCCAACGCCAACTTTTGCTTCTGCACACAATTAAAAAGAACCGTACATGTCAGTAAGCTTTCTCAAGAACCAAACAGAAAATTTTCTCAGGAACCAAACATAATTTATGACAGTGCAATAAATAAGACGAGTGAAGCACACACTTACTGGGTTGAGAGTGTTGTGCTCCTTGAAGCTCTCTTCAAGAATGGCGGACTGGTCCTTGGAGAGCCTGAGCTTCTTTCTAGAGGTCTCGCCGTCTTCTTCATCGCTGATGCCTCGAGTCTCGATGTCGAGATCTTCGCCATTGGCCTCTCTCTCGCTCCGCTTGCCGCTCACGCTCGACACCGTGCTGTTGGGCGACGACACGCCCGCCTCATCTTCGCAGTCGCCCGTGGAAGGCAACCGGTTCACGTCGATGCCCCGAAGGAACGATCGGGGCCCGACCCGGCACGTTTCGAAGTTGGAGTTTCGATCTGCATGTCGGATCGTAAAGAAATTAGAACAAACCAAAACAAACAAAAAAGCAATTGATGAACGAATTTTTTGAAAAAAAATTGTGGCTTTGGTTTAAAATTAATGAAAAGGTTGGTGCGGATCTGAAAGATGGACATTGATAAAAGCTGAATTCGTAAAAGATGTCAAAAATGGGAAAAAGGGAGAAAGAGAAGGGCTTAAAGGGTGTTTGGTTCTCTAGAAAGAGGAGAGAAAATGGATGAAAAGTGATGGGGAAAGCCAGATCTGAAATAGTAAGCCACATGCAGATAGATAAAAGTTTACAAACCTGAAGAAATCAAGGCCTCATTCCAAGAGGGTTTTTGAGGAAGAAACCCAGAAGGAGAAGAAGCAGAAGTAGGGACCAAAGAAGGCATGAGATTGAGCTGAAGGGTGCTGGTGGTGGTACTGCTGTTGTTGTTGTGGTTGTGGGTCTGAGGAAAATTCAAGCTCAGACTCAAACCCAAATCTTGATCTCTCTCAACCATCATGGCTAGTTGGTTAGTTGTTGTTGTTGTTGAAAACCCAAAAGAAAGAAAGAAGGGAACTTTTAGCTCTCCTTTTGTGTGAGTTTCAGTCTGAATGCTCTCACTGCTGTGGTTTCAGATAAAAAAGAGAAACAGAAACAGAGAGCTGAGAGAGAGTTGAAGGTTGATGAGAGAGAGAGAGAGAGGTGGATGGGTATGTTTTGGAGAAGAGTGGTGGGGATGTTGGGGGGTTTTTATAGAAAGAGAAGGAAAAAATATGGGTGGGAGGAGGAGAGAGTGGTGTGTAAGTTCAATCATGACTAAGGTGTCAGGGAAGCCCCAATTATCTCAATCATGGCTCTTGTTCCCCCAAAATAATGCCCCCCAACTCTCTCTCTCTCTTCTCTCTTCTCTCTCTCTCTACCAGCTTTGTCCTCTATTTTCTCTCTCTCTCTCTTTCTCTCTCTACATTTACTTCTTTTAACCATGGTAAATGGAGGACCAACTGGGCTTGGCTCTGCCCAACTTTATTGAGTACACTTTGCTGTCATGGTATGGTGAGAGCACTAACTGTGTTGTTGACCCTTGACCATGTCCAAAAACAAAAACAGAAATAGAAACAGAAGAATATCATATCAGTTACTTATTAATTATTTGTTTATTATTTGACATAAGAGTTTGGGGATTTGAATGAATTACTGTAACTTATTTTGTTAAAGTTCTACTAAAAGATATGCCTTTTTTTATTTTCAATAAATCATAATAAATGTTGGGTAATGATTTCCCCACTCCTATTTTATCCACTTACACTCCTTTTTTAGTTATACAAAAGGAGTGTAAGTGGATAAAATAGGAGAAATAGGAGTGGGGAAATCACCACTCTAAATGTTTATGTTTTTTTTTTACTATAAGAAACATGCAATCTCATTTACTTTCAACCCTACTTAGAATCATTAATTACTGATGATTTAAGAATTTTATGAAGTTAGAAATTAAATGATGTGAAAGATACTATACATAAAAAAAATTATATTTGTATATGTTTTGGGTGTTTAAAAGAGAGAATTGTATTTATTGTACAGTCTCTTTCAGTTGGAAATTGTACGTTAATTAAAAAAAACAAAAAGAGAGAGTTAATAGACAAAAATAAGTGGAAAATCAGCACCCTTCAAATAAACAGTTTTTTAAATGCCACATTTCTATTACTTATTTTTTTTTTTTTTTTTTTTTTTTTTTTTTTTTGTTTTGATTGATTGGTGATTTAACTTCTTACATCTTTTTATTTAATTATGCCAATCGATTTTGCATCACTTATTTGTCTCTTGGCCCCAATTATAAGTCACTTTTCAGAGAGGTCTAAAGTATTGAAAATAAAGCAAGTTCGTTATAGAATATCTTGGATAATATGATTAAAAAGATTGTTAGTAACTTACTTTTAAAAAACATTGTGACAATAATTTTTCTTGTTTAATCATCGTGAGAACTTTTTTTGTTTATTTATTTATAAAAAAAGCTAAAACCTTGGTATAAAAATCAATTCGAATCTATGAATAAAGGAAAATATTTCTCTTCTTACTAAATAGGTAGGAGCTCTTACATTCATGCTAATAATAATGTGAAATATGTGTAGAATTTTTTTTTAATTTTATATATGTGTGAAATTGTAATTCGTATGGATGAAAGTAGAGGTGGCATTTTAGACTGAAAAACCGCAAAAACCAACCGATAATTTACCACAATCTCAAGGGAACCGAACCGCATTTGTGGTTGCGGTTGCGGTTGCAGTTGCAGTTGCGGTATTTGATTTTCAAAACTTGCGGTTACCGCAAACCGCAACTATATTTATAAATAAATAAAAATTGCATTTTGTATATAGCATTGGTGCACAAACAACACAACGGGGTCCTTCAAATCCACTCACCACCACCAACACTTGAGTTTGTAACTTTAATTTGTAACATTGGTGCATTTCATTTTCCTTTTAGTTTGTAACTTTAATTAACTTTGAATTTGATTTTTCCTTTGGGTTGTAACTTTAATTCATTTTGCATTGCATTTTCCTTTTGGTTTGTAACTTTAAAGGATTTGGAATTGGAATGATTGAGAAGTTAAAGAGGTTGAGAATTTATATATGCTTGAGAAGTTGAGGTTGTGAATTTATATTTTTGAGTTAAAGTATGCTTGAAATCAAAAGGCTTCAAAAGAAGCATCAAAATTAGGCCTAAAATGTGGACGATTGAATTTTTATGACACAAAAAGAACTTGCGGTTTTAAACCGCTAATTCACAATAACCGACTGCTTTTTGTAGTTTATAGCAAAAAACAGTCGATTTACGGTTTCAAAAATTACCATACCACAAATAATCGTTTAGTTTACAGTTCGAGTAAAAATTTACAGTTGCCGAACCGCAACCACCTTTGGATGAAAGTACTGTGATTCATGCTCAAAATTAATTCAAAGTCATAATTTTCTTTTTTTGCTAGGAGCCAAATTAATGCAAGTGGCTTGCACTCATATCCACCAATTGGCATGCAAAACCGTCAAATCCAGATGCAAATCACACCGAATCTTGAGCATTAATGTCAAGGGCCACATCCCACCGTTTACGAGATAGTCCTTGTAGAGATCAACGGCCGAGATCGATCCCGCTAAACAGGCCCGTACATATTTATCCTGTACGCTTTATAATGAAGCTGGACAACCATCAAATCAATGGAACGGATGGTCATGATTGGAACAAGACAGATAAGCTTTTCATCTGGCTAGTCATTGCGGGCCCCGCTCTCCGGCAAAACCCCCATGGGTCCCCCACCGGCAAGACCCTCTGCGGGTCCCACTGTTATCTTCTTTTTTTCGAAAAATCTTTTTCTTCTTCTATGCCCCATGCGATTCCCACGAGGGGAGTGGGCGACGGGGGGTCTCCTGTTTCAGCCAAATGCGTCGCTTTCTCAACCTTTTCTCCTGATCCAAACGGTGCGTTTCGCTCCCTCGGTGGTCTAAGAGCAGGTGTATTGGCGTGTGTAGCTTCTGAGATGGCTTAGAGCCGAGGCTCTTTGGACGGCCGGGATCTTGTGGCTGCCTCACCACCACTAATTCACTTGAAATTTTGTGTTAGTGTGTAAATACATTTTTGATTCTTCTAACTCCACATTAAGTTCTTTTTAGCAATGAGATAAACATGTGTGGGGGTTGGTCAAACATGCTTTAAATGTAATTGTGAAAGCCAACTCATGACAACTAATTTGTAACATCAGCCTTAATGTAGCTTTCGCGTCTTTTATTTTTTACGTTATATTCATGAACTCTGAACCTCTACATTTATAAACAATGCATTTATTCATATTTCGCAATATTAGGCAATTCCAATAATCTAACGATTTAAAATTTAACACTTCACTTTTAAAATTTTTACACTCATCAATTTAATTAACTTCAACTTAACAATGTTAAGTTTAAATAAAATTTAAAAAAATTAAAACATACCAGCCATCCCACCTCTTCGATAACTCTCTCCCTCTTCCATGAATGTGTCTTTTTAGCAAGAACACGAAGACGGCAACCCAATCCTAGATGGGTGCACTACAAAATATAATGCCTTTAGCGAGGGCGGTTTGTGGTCGAAAAAGGCCTTTTGTCGTCGAAAATACCCTTTTCCGACGGCAATTTGCCGTCGAAAGCCGTCGGAAAAACGCCCGTTGGAAATACTTTTTTTCCGACCAGTCCGTCGGAAATAATTTATTTCCAACGCCCATGTTTCGTCGATATTGCTTATATTTCTGTCGGAAATGGATTTTCAAAACAACTATACAAATTCATTTCCAACCATAAATATGGTCGCAAACACATATGTGCTATATTTTCAACTAGTGACTATTGGTCGAAAATAGTATTTCCGACCATAGATTATTATTTGTGATAAATATAATTTGTCGGAATTGTGCATTTCCGACATGGAAGTGTGTCGAAAAAAATGTTTTTTCGACTACATTTATAGTGATTATCAAGAGTAAAAAGCCGTCGGAATGTACAAATATTTTGTAAAAGAAATATAAAAAATATTTCCAATGAGAAATTGTTGTCCAAAAAATAATATATATTATCATTAATAAAAGATCAATGTAACAAATTCCAAAAGAAACTCATTACAATCCTAAGATATATCCTATATCACTAGTCCTCAAAGCCCACTTCCAACCGAATGAGGTGTTTTCAGGTCTTCATGTGACTTGTATGTAAATACGGCTTCCTTGAAATGCAAAACCTTATCCCATGATTCAAGCACACCTACATACAAATAGTTATGATAACCACAAATTGATCTTTATGAGGTAAAGAAAAAGATTAAGAGTTTACTAACATACCTGAAACATGACAAAATGGATCAAATAAAGAACTAAGGCCAAAAATACTTGTCTAGACCTGCGCCAGAGGTATCCCTTGGAGTATAGCATGTCTTTCTTGGGTTCTAAGTGCCTTTGGAGATATAATTGCTTGCAGCTTTGTCTAAGATCTGCTCCCATCTTGAAACAAAAGAAACCAGTAACTAGATAAGTTTGTTATTTAGTGTTGAGGTATTGAAATTTCAAATAAAATGATAAAGTTTATTTTGCCACAGTTCTAAGTTGAACATGATAAGAAGTATGTCACTTATTCTGTCCTATATCACACTCATCAAATTTAATACAACATATTGACTATGGACTATGGAGCAAAAGGAGACAAACCATAACAGAGCAGTAGCTCACCTTTACTTGTTGCTGGTCCCAGAACCTATACCCACCAAACCAGAAACAGAGGATATAAAAACATTGCTCCAGATGTTTTCAAAAGAGGATCTGCAAATTGAAAGATGGTATGTAGATTCTATGTTAGTAGCCATGAGTGAAGAATATTCATTAGAGTGCACTCAGCAGTTGGGTTCCTGATATTTGTCTCAACATCATTTACCTAGTCCCACAATCATATTCAATATAACCCTTATCAATTTGAGAATTGAAGTCATAACCACAACCCGTTTGTACTTAGTTAGACTATGAAATATTAAAAAGTTCTTTGTGACATTTATACAAGCAGCTGGAGAACGAAACAAATAGGGGGTTACTTACAAGTAAGTTGAGCTTGCCGAAGAAGCCACTTCTGGTTTTAGACGAGGCGTCACAGACATACCCAGTGACCAGAAAGCCCTTAGCCTCCTAAGCAATTGTAGAGTTCTGCTTGGTTCCAAGAACATGTGTATACAGCCGCTCCAAAACCAGCTAGCTGCTCCACCACGCCTTATCTGACATGAAAAGAGAGCGATAAATTAAAATCCATTTAATTAATTTAAACAAAAAAACTCAGTTTTAAAAGAAACCCATGAGAGTGCAAACGAGATAGAGAGAGGTGCTTACCCGCGACAAAGAGGATGAGTGTTGTTTTGTGCTCTGTTGGCCACAACAGGGAAGAGGAAGATTGATTTTAGGTTTTCCTTATGGCTGCGGAAAGGAAGAGAGAATGGGTTAGGGCGTGTTGAATAGAGAATGGGGTTAGTGCGCGTAGTTAACCTAATTTTGTGCATCTAACTTCCTTTTTTCTCTCTCAGAGCGTTTTTTTTTTTTGGGGTGGGGGGGGAGGGAGGCGGCAACAAATTTTTATTTTTAAGTAAGTGTTTTTTTAAAATATTCATTTCTTAAATACTTTGTGAGTAAATTTTTGACTAACTCAAAATTACATTTATGAAAAAAAAATGAACACACAACTACATTTTAAAGAAACAAATATATAAACCAACAGTATATATATATTAAAATATGAATAATTATAAAAATAAATGGAGAATAGGAGCTAGTTCAACAGAGATTCTCCACACAAAATGATAGAACAAAAAATAAAAAAACAATAAGGAATTATATTGGCATGCTCTTGAGTGTGTGAAGATAGGCTAGTGGTAATGTAAATTCAAAGTGCCAACTAAAACTCAAATCAGTTTGTAAACAAACAAAACACTAGTTAATGTTCGATAACCTAACGCTCTTGCTTCTTTGATCCAATGATTACTATAAACTTAATTATGTGGAATCATGATTTTAGACCTCTAGAATCAAAAAATTTGTCGTAAGCTATATGTAGCTTTTTTTGGTATACTTTTCTAATTTTTATTTAATTTGTTATGAATTTGTTAAGATAAACAACAAAAAAGTAAGAAAAAAATAGGTGGTGTTGTGGTATAAGGACACGCATCACTAACACAGAAAAAGCACTTGTAAGCAGCTGCCACTTGTCGATCAATTCAGTTTAAAATATATTTTATATGATTTCACTCCTAAAAATCAAAATAAATACATTAAAAATCATTCACCAAAAATTCCTACAAAATCCTAGTGACATTCTCTTTGTCCTAACACTCTTGCTTCTTTGATCCCTCAATTATATGGAATCATGATTTTAGACCTCTAAAATCGATGGATTTGTTGTAAGGAATGCGTAGCTTTTTTTAGTGTATTTTTTTTAATTTAATTTATTATGAATATTTTAAGATAGTGATTTCCGATGACCACTAATTCCCCTTGTAAATAGAAAAATTATTACCAGCGACCATATGTTGCCCTTGTAACTAGGTTGTGATTTTCGACAACTGTGAATATGCCCTTGGAAACAAGCACAACTATTACTGAGAAGGATGAGTTTGGTCGTAAATATAAAGGCATTACCGAGCAGACATATTTCTCCTCGGAAATAGTCAAACAATTCCGACGGCATGAGAAGTCCCTCGGAAATAATCACCTTATTTCCGACAAACAAATTTTTTGTCGTTAATAAAGTTGGCGCTAATTTTTCCCGCCAAATAAATTGCATTTCCGACGGCCATAGACGCTTTTTTCGACAGCCGTTTATTTGTCGGAAATAAATAACAGTCCCGTGACATATTTCCAACGAACAACATTTTTTCGTCAGAAAAAACACTTTTGGCGAGGGAATTTGGGGGCCCTCAGAAAAAGTTGGTCGGTAATGAACCTTTTTTTTGTAGTGGTGGAGATGCCATAATTGTTTTGAATGACAATGATTTCCAAGTGCTAATAGTATTGTCCTAGTGAATTTATTAAAAATGTGATTCATTGCAATCTGCAAGCTTGAAGTACCCTTTTTTAAAAATAGTTTATTTATGTATTTTCCAAATAAAACATTCAAATTTGTTTTGTTTGAAGAGTACTTTTTTAACAAACGAGCGTTTAAGGTGGGGGAGGTTGGCTGTGAGGAGGGAAGATGTTGCGTGAGTGGGTGGGGCAAAATTGTTTTTTCTTTTTAATTTTTTTAATTTTTATTACTTAACATTGTTAAGTTAAAGTTAATTAAATGGATGAGTGTTAAAATTCTAAAAATAAAGTGTCAAATCTTAAGTTGTTAGATTATTGGAATGACCTAGATGTTGCGAAATCCTGGTAAATGCACCGTATGTAAATGTAGAGGGTCAAAATCCTACATTCATAACTTGTTACGAACACATGAAAATACTATACTTGTTGGGTTATCATATCTCATTGAGTTATACATTTGACTCTTGCAAAAGAATTGGACTGAATTTTAGATTTCGTCATTAAATTGCAATTGATATCAAATTACATGAGTCAAAATTGTCAGAATTAAAACCACATGGACCAAAGTAGAAAATCTAACCAACTACAGAGACCAATTTTTTTATTTTTGGGGGCCTAATTTATGAGATCAGCCTTCATGTAGCATTGATGCAATTTCATGTATTTTTACGATACATTCATGTACTCAACAGACCACATGAAATACAATATTCGATACATTATCCAAGTCGTTAGTGGGGAACGTAATCAAGCTGAAGCTGGCTGAGCCTTGAAGCCAACCAAAACATGAAGCTAGGAAAACAAACAAACAAAGGAAGAGAGAGCGAGAGAGAGAGAGAGAGAGAGGAAGGGGACAGAGGAGAGTGGAGTTCACGTGGGAAAGGAGAGGGGATAGCAAAAATGAGGGAAGCGTGGAAGAAAGAGGGTTTTGCATCCCCAAACTCACGTGGACCAACATGTCTTGCCTG